TTTCTGTACCTAGATAAAGGGTTCCTCAGAGTACAGCTACCCAGACGAGACACTAACTTACCTGCGTAACGAGCGCAAGGGCTTTGCCCACAGTATCGGCAACATCGAAGTCTTCATCGTCTTCATCTTCATTGGTCTCGTTCCTGATGAGAACACTTGCAGGGGTAGGTGCAACCTCTTCAATGAAATGTTTGGCGGCCAGATGTAGGGCGTGTTCCATACAACTGAAAAGATGTTAGCATATAATAGAATGTGATATAAATATAACCCTTACCGTACACGGTGCTCTCCTGCAACCCATTCCTTACCAGAAGGGTCAATAGCGAGTGCAACCGTCTGAATTGCTGTGTTGTTATTGGTGGCATTGTCGGTCGTGAACCATGCAACCTTGGTGCAAAAGTCGTAGTTATTGATAGTTTTGATTAAAATCCTTCTGATATTGCTACCGCTATGGTTGCCATTGATGATCGTGAATGCGAGCTGCTCACTCTTCAACTCCCACTCCTGAGGCTTACCATCTTGGGAGTCAATATAATGTGTGGTGATGGAGAGGAAAGGCATGCCCGGTTCAGATGTCCAAGAGTCGAAGGTGACAGAAATTTTGCTGTCGATGTTCTTAAGTTTCTCTTTGACGTGTTGCATGGCAAGCTTGGCCTGTTCGAGTATTTCATCGCGAGTCTTTGTGCGATGGGGGATATCCTTATCCGACAGGGAGGGCCGAAGGTATTGAAGAAGGTGACGAAATGGACCCTTATTGACGAGTTGGAATGTCTAGTATAAGTATCTTAAGTCACAATCACACAAAACAAAATATCACAGCCACGCACCTCATCCTCAGAGACAATGAGCTCGACAATATAGTCCATCAAGCCAGACTTTGTGAACTCGGGAATCTTAGCTGTAAGGGTGCCATCCAACGTTTGCTGGGCTGTATCGGTTGCTTTACAGCCAGGTGGTATTGCATGCTCGTGCATCTTGATGCCTCGCTCACTGCAGTGGTCTCAATAGATTGGGAAGTGGCATTTCGCATTCCGAGCAATATGGGTGCGGCGAGTCGAAACACTGCCTTTGAAAAAGGATTGATTGGCCAGTACATCATTAGCTCTATAGAATTTACATCAGTAATCTTCTGCTCAACATTCAACATCAAAATGAAAACACACCTGCATATCTCACACCACCAGCCATCTTTGCGTTCTTGGGTGTGCAGTGTAAAGATACAACAATGCTTGGTACTATACGAAGTAAGTGTCAGCACTATAAAAATGTTGTAGTGGTCTTGCACAGCCTAGTCTGCTATACTTGCTAGACAAGTGTGTTCGACCTGAGGGGTTTGCTATTGGAATTTGTCTATAGTCAATCGATAAACAGTCAAAAGTCCGAGCGCGAGAAACAGAATCCGAAGGTATAATTACGAGTCCGATGCCAAAGCGTCGGCCGATGTTTTCGGGTTTAGCGGGTTTCGGGTGCGGGTTCAGCGGGTTAGCGTCGGGTCAGGGAAATGATTGTCGGGTATAGCAAGCGGTATGCGGAATATTGATAATGACGGGAGTTTTGGATAGAAAGAGCGGTAATATTCGCAATGTCAATTAAGAACTATGAAAATATCGGGTTTGACCACAAAGCGTCAGGAAACGGCTCCCTACTACTTGGATCATGAATATGCTATGTGGGTACCAATATATATATAAGTATGTAGAAACCCGGAACCCTATAGGCGAAAGTAGCGGCCGAAGAATTTCGGGTCCGATGTACATGTAAATAAACACGAGGCGCTGCGGACTATGGGAAAACATGTAATAGCGCTGGCTACGACATGAGTAATGTGCGAAATAATCAACTACACACCTAGTGGGGCTAGCTGATGAGACAAGACACGGATAGGACAAGAGCGCGGGAAAAACGTCGGGTCCGACACGGCCGATGCGTCAGGTCCGCTGGTCAAAGTGTCGGGTTCGGCGGGTATGTGTCGGGTTGCATTGGGAAGTGAATATCGAGCAACGAACATTTGACGTGATGCGTGGAATAGCTGAATACCAGCCTAGCGCAAGCTTGAGTGCTACAGCGGATTGATGCGACCTTTCTCCTGAGTAAATACTACCTTCAAATCTCCACTGCGCTCCTCTTTCTTCGTGTGCTTGCGATCTTCACGATCCTCATCTCCAAATGCCTTGGTCTTTTGGTAAGCTTCCTCTTTGTTGACATCCTCATCCTCTTCCTCGTCACCAGAAGGCGGTTCATCGTCATCATCATCATCATGGAGACGGGAGCCAGTGTGCACTCGCTTTGGTGCAGGATGGTCTTGAGGATGTGCTGGAGCGGATCGTTTGATTGGAGCTGTGTTGACAGCCTCGCGGATTTTCTCCGTTGGTTTAACGGCTCGACCAGAGCGATGAGACACGAAGGCATTCAGCTTGCCATGGGATGTAGAAGGCGGAGGTGCGGGAACCATGAGGGATTCATCATTGGGGTTATTGTACCAGTCGATAGTGCTAGCATCTTTCAGTTTTTCGTCCGATCCAAGTGCACATGACATTGTGGCAGTGGGAAGCATGAAGTTTGAACCTGTAGTAGCTCGTTTATACCAGAATTTGTGATAATATCAGAAATATATGACGCACCTTGAACATACTGTTGCCATGGAAGTGAAAATCCCAAAGATATGTTCTGGTTATAATGTTCATTAGAATCCAAATAACGGTGAACGTTGGCCTTACCAAAACATCCAGTAGTTTACTGAGGAAGTTGGATGTCGCCATTAGAAATGTGTTGAAGTCAGACCCGGTCTTAGTCGTCCTGAGATCAGGACTGATGATTGCCATGCTTGTTGCCAATCAGAGAATATATTAATTAGTAGATGACTAGCAATAAGGGGGTTGAGTGGATCTTACAAAGAACTTCAGATTCAAGAATGGTTCGGATGAGTCCAGATGCATTCAGGACGCGTTCGCACATTTCAGGCATCAGCCGAACACCGAACGTAATAATGTGTTCAGTCCTTACAGTATGCCGAACCTAGGACCGAACCTACAGTCCAGTTCGGAAAGGTTCAGGTCCGAACCGAAGTTCTGAACCGGACCTTGGCAGCACTATCGCAGCAGCTAGTGAACGAGAGAGAGATAAATATGTACCAAACAGTTGACTGCGACCGATATTAGATAAACTTACCTGCACATGTTAATATTGTTGGTTTTGACTCCTTGAAACTTGAAGCATCGTCGGAATCCAGAAACATCCCATCATCCCCCATCTCTTGATATTCAGGATCCCACGATGCATATACATGTTCTGGAATTCCTCTCCGCAATGCTGAAGACATATAGGTTAGCCTATCAAGAAATTGTAGGACACAGAGGCTCTTTACCTATGATGATGTTGGCATCTTTCACAGGGCACTTGTGTCTGCCTCAGAATCGTGCAAGATCACTGCCGGTTGGCTTGTCGACATTTACGACCTCGTATTGGAGCCTCTCTTTGCTTATTAAAACCCATGGGCACGGCATCAGGAAAAACCTCCCGGCCAAAATTTCGATAATCTTTGATAAAGTCCAATAATTATGTTTAATTAGCAGCTTTAGGAAAATTAGGAAAATTATGTAGTTTAGAAGGACTTTCTTACCCCCTCGTAAATTTTGCATAGTTATGAAGAATTAGCTGATACTAGACACAATTATTGTGAATTGCAGAAAATGTATTTCAAACTTTGCATTGCAAATCACCCACAATAGTCAGATGATGTTACAAGAAAAAACAATTGATATTTGATTACATAGAATATAGACATAAAAGTAATTACTGTATAGCTACAATTGACTGCAGATGTACGGTGACCGGTGACCCCTGGAAGGAGGATCAACACACTGCGAATGGCAGATGACAACGACAGTCAGCATGGCTCAAGCTTGAAGGAGGATCAACACACTCACCCACTGCGAACAGCAGACAACGAGTTGGATCAACATGGCTCGAGCTCAGAGGAGGTTCAACACACTCACTTTCTGCGAACAGCAGACAACGAGTTGGATCAGCATGGCTTGAGCTCAGAGGAGGTTCGACACACTCACTTCCTGCGAACGGCAGACAATAACTTGGATCAGCGTGGTGGTTGCTCGAACGACGATTGATGCACTCACTTCCTACAAACAGTGGACAACAACTTGGATCAGCGTGGCTCTGGCTGGAACGAGGACCGACACACTCACTTCAAACAGATCCAAGCAAAGTTGATACAAACTTGATACCTAGTTTGTAGTTACAAATGTTAGATAAAACTTTTAAAAAAACCTAAGACATACCTATCAGCTTGATGATTGAGGCTGACGACGTTGAACATTGAGGAATGAGGGATCGACGTTGGAAGTTCAAAAACTTTCCAAACCAAAGTCATGCGAGCCAAACAAATACTATCAGTTACCACAACTTCGGTCAACCACTGGTTCGGACAGTCACACAATGTAACACAATAGTAACACAAGGTCACATCCGCCGAAACAAGCTCCGCTCGACATTCAGTATCAGCGCCTTCAAGTGCACAGGCCAAGTCGTAGTGTTCGTTACTCTAACTGAAAGTTAAACAATTCAAATGTTTTATTGAAGGTGCATTATAAAGCGGTACAAATTTATGAGGGGCTGTAGGAACTATGTAGATGACTGGGACAGTGTGGTACAAAAGAAGGTGCTGCAAAAGAGTAGGTAGGTGGTGCCGCTGGTGTGTAAGATCCATGGGATATGATATTAGCTGACGAGTGTGGATGATATTGTAAGCTCGAAGGAGGAGTATACAATGTGTGTTTGAGTCCTCCAGGTGGCTGTGAGACTGGGAGCAATGAGCCGAAGCCAAAATGTGGTGTGGGGGACGACATTGAATGGCTACTACTAGTAACGTTGATATTAGGTGTGGAGTCCTTGCTGAGTGGGATGTGTTTCGAATGTGTGCGACACTTTGCACCTCCAACTTGAAACAATGCAGAAAAATGTGCATTGTCTGCCAGTGTTGCTGTGCCTGCAGCATTAACACATTCAAGAATTGTGACCAGTTCTAGGTTATCACTATACATGCAATATCGCTCTTTATCTTCAATCCAGAAAATATACTTGGTGCCATCACCCTTGCGACCTCCTCCCATTTGATTGCCTTTCTCATCCATGTTCCAGTTGTGCTCTGGAGGGATCTTATTGCACCTGTCGTCTACTTCCTTGCGCATATTAAAATAATCCCCAACAGTTTTCCTGTTGAAATTCTGTGCTCGTTTCGGATCGAGTCCTCGTGGTTTTGCCATGACGAGACAAGGATGACGGCATATGAAATGGCGCACCCAATTGTGGCCAGGGCGTCTATGGCATATCTCAAACACACGAGTCCGGAAAGCATGAGCATGGAGAGGAGTGGTAAAACTTGAGTTGAGGTGGCACCAATCCAGCAGTGCGGCTTCCTGTGACGGGCTTAACAGTTGGCGCTTCCTGGCAGCACTTTGAATTGATTGGTGGCGCCTGGTTGCACGATCATGTAGAGTCTGGAAAGAAACCTAAATAAAAGATGTGAGGTCTTATTAAATGTTCATCGAAGCACAGATTATCCCAGACTCACCTGGTGAGCCTTTGCTGCTGCCCTATAGCTCTTATATGTTCCTCCTTGTACTCCAGCAAGGGCTTCTTGAATCTGCGACTCGCGCTGGATTTTTTTGCTTGGAGTTGGAGTGTGGGTACCCTTGCCCCAAGCGCGCCCCATGCCCTGTCCAAGATCCTATCAATGGTGAGTGGTTCGGCAGATCTGAAACTCCACTATGGCAGACTCGGCTTGGTGACAAGCAGACATGATCTTTGGCTCTGTCACACCTGAACAAGGATCTCAATCATTTCTTGACTAATTTCAATTATTCAACTTCGCAGTAGTGTATTATAAGTGTACAGTGATATGTGGTCAGACAGAATATGAATTGAAGTAAAGTTGAGTGAGATATTGAAAAGTGTCCGAACCAGTGGTTGACCGAAGTTGTGGTAACCAATAGTACACGCAAATGGTTCGATGTCAACCAAACAGTCACGTGAGCGAAACAAATATGTGCAAATGATGAACTTCAACGAAATTTGCATCGTTCCTGCTCTCCTGCTCTCATGCGTTGTTCCTGCTCTCATGTGTCATTCCTGCTCTCATGTGTCGTCCATATTCATCTGAGCCACATCAGCAGTTGCTGACGTGTGCTGGGCGTTTGCACATGGTGTTTGTGGTGTTGGGAATGGTGTGGTGGCACTCACCCACATTGGAAGGCTGCCCCTTCCAAATCTAACATACGCGTGTCTGAACTCACTACAGTAGTGCTCCTTCTTTAGAGTCAAAATTTACCACCGCAACCCTTACTTCGATCCAGTGTTCCCTTACTACTCATGCATCTCCCTCCACCTCCACCAATCTCTTCAGATTCATCTGTCTACTTGAGCCGCGGCTTTGTCGAAGATCGTGCGGAGTGCCCATCTTCTGCCGAATTTCAGTGCCATTGTCCCACGAGAGTGGTCGAGTGATACAGTTCTAGATGGCTATAACACTTTTTGGTTGAACTCGTATCTAGATAGATACACTTTCTGTATCTTCAAATAAGTCTCGATAATTCCATTGTACATTATCGTCTTTTAGCCGTTTTATTCCTAATACTTGAAATTAGATCGAATTATCAGAATAACATCGTTTAGATCAATTTATTAAAAATTTTGCCTGGGAGGGTTTCCCTGATGACGAAGGTGTGCCAATTCCTTTTCCTTTTCCTTTTGAATTAACATATTCAAATGGCAATGGAAACACTTCATTTTGCAGGTACTGATTAACCTCGTCATGAGTCCACATTCGATTAAACGAAAATCTGCTAGCGGTCTCAATATGTGCACAATGATGATGTTCCATGTTGTGCAGCTGCGTCCGTGATAGTAGACTCATGCTCTTGAGATTACCGTTGTCCTTCAACATATTCTGTTAGTTTTTTCTCGTGTAAAAAGAGATATATATTCACGCATGTCAAGGCAATTCACGAAAAGAAGCCATAATGCAACTTTCACAGTTTTATCCCCATCGGCATCAAATCGACTTGATGACACAGCCCTTGTCCTACTACTAGGAACTCGATGTGATTGCAACTGCTCCGAGACCAACTTGTAAGTATAACAATCATGCATGATGTGTTTCGCACTTTATTAACCTTGCTGGTTTGTGAGTGTAAGCTAGCCCTGAAGCCTTTCATGACTTTGTCTCGGGCTACTGAGGCTTGCTCGACATCTACCCTCTGGTCAAGTATGTTTTTGGACGAGGTAGCTGTTGGCACTGCAGATCCTAGACTGGTTTTTTTCTTGAATATACTGACCAGCCTCTTTTTTCCAGACAGTTCTGTGCCCTCTTGCCTTCGAGGTGTAGCTCGTGAAGTGGAATCCAGAGCCTCGGGATGTTTGCTAAACCCATGCTGGCATTCTCGACAGTAGTAAGGAGCATCGGGGTTAGAGGGTGGGGTGAAGTATTCACAGGTGCAGGCTTGTCCTCCTTCACGAAAGTCTCGGCAGTACTTTTTGTGGTGGTCGGACATGGCAATGTATGAGATGACGTGGAGACAGCTCGGAAGAACCAGTATACTGTAGATGTGCTTTATAGAAAATTTTTGTCTCACATAAAGCCTCGGTGAATTGTGATTGACACTATGTCTCTGGTCAAATTTTAAGCATATATTTCATGTATGATATTTAGCTAAAAGTATCTTTTGGTTTCAAACAAAGATAACACTGACAATCCTTGACACCAGAGTGTTGCACGAGCTTCCCAGACAGAATCACTTAATGATACTACAATAGATTTTGTTCCGTGTCTCCCAAATTGTAAGACTTCAATCATGGCTGCATCCTCATCATCTTGTTCACCAGGTAACAAGCCATAACCTTCAGGTATGATGCCCTCGACAATGATTTGCTCAACTGTTGAAAAAAAAAGGTTCTCGTCATCCTGGGTCACAAAGGGACTTTTCTTCCTGGGCACTTCAACAGCAGTGTGTCGAACATTCTGTTCCTGATCTTCTTCTATCTGTGAGATGAGCTGATCCCCTGAATTAGTGTCTTTGTCATCAGGATGGCCAGCACCAGTTTGTCCATGACAACAAGTCTGTTCTCACCCATGAGTGCCATGGTATTGTTCAATTGTGTCAGGGTGAACTCCTTCGCAGTCGTCTCGGTAAATGCCAAGTGTTACCTGGCTTATCAGTCGCAGATCCTGTGATAAATCATAAATGCGAGTTCGAACATTGATTAAAGTGCAAAGAACATGTCCAAGGTAGCAGATAAAGCGCAAAGAACATGTCCAAGGTAGTGGATAAAGCGCAAAGAACATGTTCAAGGTAGCAGATAAAGCGCAAAGAACATGTCCAAGGTAGTGGATATTACTACTTACCTGTGGGCTCTTATTGTTCGTTGACAGGCCAGCAATCGGATGAAGATTCCATTCTTCTCGAAAGGTCTTACAGTCATCATTGATAGCATCCAAGAATAGACCTTGGAGGAGCCACAAATGACCCGTTTTCTCGATATCAAGGCCATGCAATCTCTCCAAGCGACTGAAGAATGCCCTCCAATGTCTCACGAACTGGGTTCCTACTTCAATAGTAGTTGTGTAAGCACAACTCCCAATCGGTCATTTGATAAAAGAAAGTCTTATGATCCCCACATAAAGGAGCCACAATTTGGGCCATTTTGCATGACCATATAAGTAGCAACATCAACATTTTCACCACCGCGATCGCCTCGCATACGTGATGGCATACCATACTCCTCTTGAGCTTCAAGAAATAAATCGAGTACTGTTACAGCACGATTGTTTGTGCTTGCTCACAGTGCAACTACCTGGACAGGCATTAGCAATTGGCAACAATTTGACTCAAATGACAGTTGCATACTGTTCTGCAGTAGCTGTCAATGAATCCATGGACGACAAACCCCCACCGAATCATTTTATGATGCCCATCCAAATGCCAGAGAGCATTGGAACATTTTACTTGATATTTCCGTCTTTGAATGATTTGTTGCCATCGGAAGTGGCATCCAATTCTGTCGACTCGTCGTAGTGATTGCCATATTCACCTATGCTGTACACGAACACCTTGTTGGCGAAGAAAGCCAACAAGGTACTGAAAACCGGACTCTGGTCTACAACGCTTGAATAGCTTCACCAGGGCATCAAGGTCACAGTCATGAAGGTTGGAATAGCACCTTTCAATGCTGTGTTGATGCATGTAGCGCCATAGTATTTCTGGATGAACATCGAGGATTTTTGCGAGTTCAACATGCCTGATTTGATGTCAAGCAGAGGTGGCCTCCCTCAAGAAATCAAGATCTATTATTTTTTTAGGTCGTCCTCGTTTCCCGGTGTAGAGACTCGCGCGTCTCAATGCCGAGTATCCGGCCTTTATCCATACATTCCTATATGATCCAGCTCTAATCCAAAGGACCAGTCTCATGCGCGCCCTATTTACGCTCGCGCGCACTTACGCGCGCATTCGTGTGCCTCCTCCTAGGTCTTTGCGCTATTGTCCGTCCATTTGTTCCATGTCCTTACTGATTTGCTGGTGCGTTATTCCTATCTCCTTCATTGAACTAACAAATCTTCGGTCCGAAATCCGCGCTACATATAGAAAGTCTATTTAAACTTAGTTATAATTAGAGTTGATATGGTTACTCAGTTCGGGAGCACGCTCGGAAGCGCGCCACATAGTGTAATCTCCATTCTTAAATAGAGAAGGGAATCTTTGGGGTTCTGGTACTTACTTTCCCCTTATCTTTGTGTACTGGAAAGTGTATAGATCACCTCCTCACTTGATATCAGATCTGATTCTCCTGTCAACCATCCATCTGTGCATCCACTCTTCAAATAGGGCCTTTCCCTTAACGTTCTAGGCGCGCCTTCGCTTCGCGCACGCGCATTCTCGGACCTCCCGCTCACGCGCGCATTACCTTCTCGCGCCCGCCTAGCTCATACAGTCTCCCTCCAATCTTTATTTCGAGGAACTTCTCTCAGTGGTTGTCCTTTGGGTCGAGTCGTTGTCTCGTATCCTGGTCTTGAAGTAGAGCACCCATTTGTTTTAAGTGTTTCGCCTATAGTCAAGATTCCTCTTCTACACCGGTGTTCTCAATTCTGGTCAATTCTGGTTTATCAATATTATGCTCCTCTCTGTAAATATCTCGTATTAGTATCTGCACATCTATCAAAAATTTGACTCACTGTTCATTTACAGTTGTTCCTAGGTGTTCGAGATTGGTAACTGCGCGACCAAGTTGTGTGGCTACATTAGCTAACCATTCGACGGGGAGAGACTCCAGATTATCATCTGAGTCGATGTCAGGTACAAGTGCTTGGAGAATTGGAATTGCATTCAACAAGATAGCATCCACGTGGAATGCAATATGAGTGGGGTCAGCTCCATCTGCTCGAAGAACTCGGATGGCATGATTATAAGTGCGTCAGACACTCTCATACACAGCTTGGATTTCCGCAGACCAATTTTTTGTTTCAGGGAGAAGTGGGAGTGACAATGGCACCAAAGGACCAGCATCCATTGTTTTGTATCTGACGCGAGTTAGTAAGCTATATGTTGTTCAAAGGTTCCGCTGGTATAATTTTTACTGGTGACGTGTTTTGGGTCTAACACATTCCTTTCCGTACCTGGTTTTTTTTATTACTAACACCTCAACTCTTCTTCTAAGCCATCCCTTCGTGTTCACACAATATTCTGCTCAAACAATCAAGTTGACTTGCCTTACTGATTCAAGTTCAATTCCTGCTCAACGCCATCAAATGTTCTTCTTCTCAGATGGCACCCACATCTTCCAGGTTTGTGCCACTCAATGGATCATAGCCTTATGATGGACTAACTTGAATGTACTGATAGGCAGGAGACTCACTCTTCAAGGTGCATGCAAGCATCCTCGGGGATAAATCTCTTGGGTTTAGGGATATGTTTGCTGCAAGCCAGGACACCCAACTCGAAGAGGTTGATGGTAGCACTGACGACAAACCCATATTTGTACCATCGCAAGTAAGCGAAAATGCTTTCGAATTGTTCCTTTCTGTCTGTTACAACAAGTGAGCCTGAGTTTGTTTCATAATGAGCTCACATACAACTTGAATGTCATGCAGATGGAGGCCTGATGCCGTCAAAATACCTAATGACACCGTCATCCAACTACTGGAGCTGAGCGACATGTATCTTTGCAGAGATGCTCGTGACTATGCTGTTCGAAATCTCCAGCGCAACCGCTACTCACTCGAATCCACACGACTTATTTCGCTTGCTTTGAAGTTCAATATCAAAGAATTCTTACCACATGCTTTCGAGCGCCTCATTTCAGCTCGCATCAATGACGTGTCTGACGACAAACATCATGCTGTTGGGCCCATCGTGTGGAACACAATGTTCAAGGTCAAGGAACATCTGGATATACACCGTCGGATTATTGCATGTGAAGCCCCACCTATGGTACACGCAGGAACTTGCGTGAAGCAAAAGAGATGCGAGGAGGACTGGAAGCAGTTGTGGTGGAACGGAATGGGTCGGTTTCTGCTGGATGGGCGAAATCCACAACCTTACAAGGATGCTGTCGAACGGTTTGAGAAACTCGACATCAGCGAGATAAATCCGGATTGCTGGAAAGTGGTATTATTCACTGTGAAAGGCCAAAGTGCCTTCGATCACGAGCGAAAGCTTATCAGTCGCACGGCTAACAATCTCATCAAATACCTGATTGTCGAGCCAAACTTTGAAGATTTTGGCTGTGCAGTATACTAGCAATAGTAGCTATATTCCTTTCCCTGTTGTATCGCGCGGTGCAGTGCACTTGATGTTGTATATCGCGCACTCTCTGTTGTATTGCACGCACTCTGTTGTATTGTGCACTGTCGTATCACATTTTGTCGTATCGCGCACTGGATGTCGTGTATCGCGCAGTTTATTAAAGTGGGGTTTGGAGTGTCATACCTAGAATCAGAATCGTAACTTGAATGCATGCAAGTTAAGCTTCGTTTTACAGATGCTAGAATAGGGACGTTCAAAGTTGGGTGCCCACGCCCAACGCCTACGCCCACGACCCCCCTTGCCCATATACCACTTCCCATTTTGTACTTGAACGAATGTATTATATAATCAATGATAACTGACTACACTTAACACTATCCGAAAACACATATCACACTCAATGGCCCGTCTTCGAACATCACGCGAGCAATACCTTCACTCATATCTCTTGCTTATGGTTCTATGTACTTTGTTTCAGCCAGAGGTGACCCTCGAAGAGGCAGCAGCACAGCTGCACTGTGACTTATCCTGCATTCTTGCTATTCAACAAACTCGTTATCTACAAGAGCGCTCCCCTGTGGCAAAAGCTGGCACCCTACACATTGCTTGGGAATATGCAAATTCTCCGTCCGACCACTTTCACTTTATTCATATGCTCCATGTTTCTCCAATGACCTTTCAAGTCCTGCTTGATCTAATTGAAGGTCATCCAGTATTTTCCAATAATTCCAACAATGCACAGGCACCTGTCCAGACTCAACTCACTGTCACTCTCTATTGAATGGGTCGATATGGCAATGGTGCCTCAGTGCTGGACATTGCCCGCCATGCAGGAATTTCTGAAGGTGCAGTAGAGTTGTTTACGAAGCGATGCTTTGATGCAATTAAATCTCTGCATGACACTTTTGTGCACTTACCAACTGCTGAAGAAAAGGAAATTGAGAAGTTGTGGATAGATGACTGGCTCAAATTCCGAGGAACTTGGAGGGAAGGCTGGGTGATGTATGACGGGACAATTGTTGTTCTGCATACTAAGCCAGGTCTCAATGAAGATGCATATCATACACAAAAGTCAAACTATGGACTGAATCTACAGGTACTATATTACACAGCTTTTTTAAACAATATTGAGGTGCTTTGACAGATTGGAAATTTACCATCTAATCTCCGTATCGTGGACTATGCACATGGCCTGACTGGCTCTGCCCATGATGCCTCTGCCTTCGAGCATACTGCAGCTTCAAAACATACAGATTGGTTTTTCAAAGGCGATGAGTTTGCCTGGGTAGACTCTGCATATTCAGTCAGTAACCATACCATTCCAGTCCACAAGCGCCCTGCTTCTCTCATCCCTGAGAATGCTCTATTTGATAGTGCAGTGGCCCATCTCCGAGTGCACTCTGAACATTGCATGGGAGCTCTGAAAGGGCGCTGGCAATGCTTGCGGGGGCTTCGGGTGACCATCACATCAAAGCACCATCATCGGGCAGCATGTGACTGGATGACAGTGGCCATTATCTTGCACAACCTTGTGATAGAGGTTGAAGGAGCAGTACAAGGGGAACACTTCACTGGGATCCACACTCACACTGATGAACAAGAAGATAGAGGATTGCCTGATATTCCTCAAAGTCAAGTGATTAGGAATAATGGAGAACTGAAACAACAAAGGCTTGTGGAAGAGTTACTGGCATTTCGACAAATGTAACAAAGTATTCAACGAACTACTATTACCAAGTATATATGATATCAAGGTGTTAACGAGCGACTAGAAATTGACCACAAGGAGTGAAAATTATCGAGAGGGGAAGGAGGGAATTATACTACGACTCATCATCCCAATCTGGCCAATCTGGAGAGTAACAAGCACGCTTCACAGGCTCAGCCTTGTCAGAAGGCTCGCGCAGCAGTTCACGGATTTTTTCACGATACTCTTCAACATTCCAAATGCCAGCCTCGAACTCTTTGAGCAGCATCTGGTGCTCTTGAGGCTGCCTATCTGCTGTAGCACGAGCATTGATAGCATCTAGACTTGCCCTTTGCATGCATAAGAGTAAGGCTAATCGAAATATGGAGGCAACGTACTTCTGCATATCAATAAGTGTCTCGTCAAGGGTGCGCTTCTTCGGAACCTTGGAGATGTGTTGCCTGGCTTTGTTGAGACTGTCTTGCAACATTGACGAGGATTTTGGGGGTCACTTAGTCATCGAGGTAGGGGTTGACTGTGAGGATGCAGGAGGATCATTCTCCTTGTCGTCAACATCACAAAGAGGTTGAGAATAGTCAGAAGGATCTACAATAGCATCGAATGAAGACTCAAAAGATGGGGAGATTCCACGGTGCGCTGCCTCGTTTTGAAGGGCTGTATGGAGGCTCTGGATCTGTGACAATTGCTCTGGCACAAATTCTGGTCCTTCATCATCACTTGGAGGCTGGTAGTGCATAGTCTTCCTGCCCTGTGGGCCAACACCAGTGGTGATGGCTATCGGAGTTACATTTGGACGAGAAGATAAGATTCGATGGAGGACAGGAAAGAATTGGAATTGCTCGACAATCTCATCTGCATAATGTTAGAATTATTCTGAGGAACATAAGTAACATACCCCAAATACACTGTGCCCTCGGAGTTGTGGTCGCATTAGGTCCATCAGCGGGGACATAGCATTCAAAAAATTCGTTGTCAGAGGTGTTGCCATTCACATCAGACTAGACACCTTCCCCAGTTGTCCAGAGACATCGAGCATGCACCTTGTATTTTTTCGTTAAGCTGCATGACGGACTTGTAAGGTAGAAAATAATGAGAGAAGCACAACACTCACTACTCGTACTTTCATTTGACTCGGTCCCCCATCGCAACAGCATTCTGGTTGTGTAATTGCGGGAAAACAGAAGCTGCCATGTGCTGATATACTGTTACTTTGCTATCACCTGACATGTTCTGGCACAGAAACATCATATCTTGTATCATATAACAACTTTAACTCACTCACCTCACCCTTCTTCCACTTGCCTAGAAGCACAACTCTGTTCTCTGATAACTCAATCTGCGCCAATAGCTACCAGACTAAGTTGTCGGTCCAAATGATCTCTGGAATTGTGACGCCGCTATCCTTCACATCGGGGTGAACGATATTTAAAAGAGGTTTATATGTTGTACAAAATGTGAAAACAATACTTGATATTTAAACTAACATAAAGATGGGTGCACGACTTCAAATTTTGGTGGTGTTTTGTGTGTCATCCAAAATATCAAATATTCACAATCATATTCCCACAGACAATATGAATATGTCAACAAATATAATAAATATAATCAGATTTTCCATGTCTGCTTCAATTTAAAGTTTGATTCTTACATAAAACTTTGGAGAAAACTTGAAGTTTTGCCAAAGCTTGACATTTAAATCGAGTTTTAATGTCATGTCATCTGTAAAACTTCAAGTTTTCTCCAAAGTTTTACATGGAAATTGAACTTTAAGTTGAAGCAGACATGAAAAATCTGACTATATTTCTTATGTTTGTTGACATATTGTCTGTGGGAATATGGTTGTGAATATTTGATATTTTGGATTACACACAAAACACCACCAAAATTTGAAGTCGTGCACCCATCTTTATGTTAGTTTAAATATTAAATATTGTCTTCACATTTTGTACAACATATAAACCTCTTTTAAATATCATTCACCCCAATGTGCTTCTTCTTCGCCATATGCGCAGATCTGATTGATGTGACAGTGAGTACAAGATGACAGCTAATTGTTAAATTTTTAGATTTACGTTCATATTACCTAATTATGCAAACTACATTTTAGGGATAATTCTAATGAGAAACCCCCCGTGGGAAAGAAACCCCGACATCGACAGGAACGTTGAGTAGAAACCTCTGCTTACCTAATGAAGACCGCTGTTTGTCTCCGCCGTGCGCACTGGTACTCAACATTCAACATTGTCAGCCTCAATCATCAAGCTGATAGGTATGTCTTGGATTTTTTTAAAAGTTCTATTTAACATTTGTAACTACAAACTAGGTATCGAGTTTTGTCATTGGATTGTGAGTCTGTCGATCCTTGTTTGAGCAAGAGCCACGCTGATCCAACTCGTTGCCTGCCGTTCACAGGAAGTCACTGAGTGTGTCGGTCCTCGTTTCAGCCAGAGCCACGCTGATCCAAGTCGTTGTCCGCCATTCGCAGGTAGTGAGTGCATTGATCGTCATTTGAGCAACTGCCATGCTGATCCAAGTCGTTATCCGCTGTTTGCAGGAAGTGAGTGTGTCGAACCTCTGAGCTCGAGCCATGCTGATCCAAGTCGTTGTCTGCCGTTCACAGTGGGTGAGTGTGTTGATCCTCCTTCGAGCTCGAGCCATGCTGATTCAAGTCGTTGTCTGCCATTCACAGTGGGTGAGTGTGTTGATACTCCTTCGAGCTCGAGCCATGCTGATCGAAGTTGTTGTCCACCATTCGCAGCGTGTTGATCCTCCTTCGAGGGGTCACCGTACGTCTTTTCTATAAATCCACTCACGCGTTTCACTAATGTAGCTTTATTAGCTTATGCTCATCCACACATGTTCACACTTGTATGTGCTTGTCCGCACTCGTTCTTGCTGCAACAGGTATGGCTTTGCTAATCTAAGCCAGGGATTAGGTATTTGCGGTCAATTGTAGCTATACAATAATTACTTTTGTGTGTGTATTCTATGTAATCAAATATCAGTTGTTTTTTCTTGTAACATCATCTGACCATTGTGGGTGATTTGCAATGCAAAGTTTGAAATACATTTTCTGGAAGTTTGGCTTTTCTCAAACTCTGTAGCGCAAAAATCACGATATGGTTGGTGTCAATAACCTGTCAATAACTACCCTGGGGATACCCTAGGTTAATAACATGTCCAAAACTCGGCGGTGAGCACTGAGAACATACTGAAAATTAAGTACCAGACAAACAAACTTAGTCAACACACAAGCATTATTGCAGCAATTCCTAGTTCTAATACTACCCACCAAATAAATGGTGCTCTCGAACTGATCTACTCACACTATGGCCCTTTTTAGCAGTACGGCACTGGTTGAGTGTGGCGGACCGGCGGTGGGCCCCGGCCGTCAGAAACCCTGCTACAGTATTGAAAGTCAGAAGGGTTTCTGCTGACTAAGCAAGTACCCCCAGGTAAGGGGGTTTCTCATTAGAATTATCCCATTTTAGGTGACGACCCGTGGGCGAAGGGGTCATGGGCGTAGGCGTTGGGCGTGGGCGCCCAACTTTGAACGTCCCTAATAAGTCCCGATCAAGTTAAATTAAGAAACGTGATCTTTTACAGGTGCCTCACTGTACGAAACCAATGCATTTAGACAGCATGGTTGTACATAATATTCAAGATGAGATCACGCCACCACGCCGCCCCCAATGCCTATAATGCCCAATGCCGGTTCTCAGAATCTCACTGGCACGTGTGCGGAACATGCTGAATCCAAACGTCTTCATCATCTGCCCGAATATACCGACTCCGATGTTTTAATGAGAAGGTAGCTGAAGGAGAGTTGACGTTACTCAAAAACAGTGAAGGCGCAACTAAGACCTATCTTTCGCTTTCTTATCTTGATTCATTATTGCAATGGGGAGTTCCCGCCCAAAACCATCTATTGTAAGTTGTGTAACTCTTCCTTAGCTAAGGTTAACTTCAAGTCAGCCCCATATCCCGTCTCGAAATTTTGCCGGTTCCAACCATACTGAAGTTGCGAAACTTCCACACCACTCAGACACGTTCAGTGTTGTCATTTGCGGAGAATCCGGATCTGGTAAAAGTTCCTTGGTCAATTTGATCGCTGGGGCGCACACGGCGGTCACATCTGACGGTGCTGGGGGGTGTACAACTACAACCAATGTGTATGATGTTTTGATTCTGAACGAGACGTTGAAGGTGAAGCTTTCTGATACAGTCGGTCGGTCCAATTCACCGCTCCTCGTGCCTATTGCTGAATGGGATTGCAGGTCTGGGCGAGGGCCCTCGAGGCACAGTTCCAGATAAGGACGCTCGAAGAATTTTGAAGAGGCTCCTTCGAACTCTGACGGAGCAAGGCGACATTCATCTCGTCATGTACTGTGTGCAGGGTGGGAAAGAGATTCGGTCACTCCGCCAGAACTATCAGTTAATCCGCTCTCAAGTCGAGAGGAAAGTTCCAATTGTCCTTGTCGTCACATGTTTGGAATCCTATCAACCAGAGATGGAAGACTGGTGGAGAGATAATGAGCGGACCGTCTCAAAGCTCGGGATGACCTTTGCTGGCCACGCATGTATCACGACGACGACGACGATGACAAAATATATGGATGTGCAGCGCCGCACCCATTCATACGACGCTGTCTGCGAACTCATCAATCAGTGTCGTCCATCGAATGACACAGGAATTCATACTGGATCGTCACTAGACACTGTTCATCCCTCTGCAAGGTACGTATTCCCCATACTCTTTGTATCGCATCTTCCTAACATTTATCAGTGGTAACAAGTACCCAAATGTTGGCATCTTTGGGCAGGCAGGGGCCGGCAAATTCTTCAAAGCAATCACCGGCTCTCTCACGAATCCCTTTGTGAAAAGAAGGTCCCCATTGTCATAGTGATCACATACCTCGAAAACGAAGTCGGGGAAATGGATAACTGGTGGAAGAGAAACCAAGATACTTTCCGTCACCGGGGGTTCCATGTCGATGGTCATGAGTGCATCACCGCCATTCGAGGCAATTGTCCTGAATGGCATGAGCAATCGCGCATCACGATCCGCAAACTTGTTCAGGAGTTTACCGCCGACGGGCAGAGGCGAGCATGGACAGGAGGAGACGTCCTGTTCGTGTCGTTGATGTGACAGCTGAGGGGACTAGTGTCAGGTAAATCGCGTTCGAAGAAGGATGATATTACCCCTCGCCTCACCAAGAGGTGCGGTTTGTCTCCGGATGTCGCAAAGCAGTTGGCCGACATCATTAAGAAAGACGTGGTAGAAGGACCTAGTTGACTTGACTTCCCGTGTTCGATAGCTTGTGCTCGTTCCAATTGCAGACTTTTAAATTTATATTGGAACTGCAACGGGTTGACAAGGGATTAGTGCCTGCAGCAATAGAGAATGAGATTATGGTCACGGACCATCATGAAAATGAAGATGGGATTTGGAGTATGTTGCTGTCGAGTGGTCTTACATCCATGTACTTAGTTCCCGACAGCACTCCCTAGTCAGGTTCTGTTGCTTCTGAACGTCCAGGCACCTGTATTTTCATGTGCGCGTGATTCGAAATTATTTACTTGTTCTGTTAAAAGTTAACGTTCAGACCTCAACTGCCTGTCTCCTGCTGGCTTCGGCTGATCTCACTGGAAACTGTGTCCCCTGCATGCGCTGGCAAAACTCCGCCGTTATAATTATCGATTGGCGTGGTGATCTTCCTAGCGTATGTTTTATATCTCCGCCCAGCCCGGCATGTATGGGTGATTCTTAAGCTTCAGCGATTAAACAACACATACATTTGTAATTCGCGAGACGACGTGTGCAAGGCTTGAGAGGAACGAATCAAATTGAGGAGTTTGCTGGATATCGGAGTCGGGGAGTGGTGCTTGCGCCGTTCATCGGCGAATGGATGATTCCTTATCATTGTACTAGTAGCCGTCACTCAGTCATCTGCATCAACCTCACGATTACCATCGCACTTGTTCGTTCTCTCGTGATGAGAGGCAAGAAAACACGAGGGAATAGAGCTACCAACAGAAAAATATATGCCGCAATTATCCCAGTATTCTAGAAGAAAACTCTTCAGACACTACTACTAGTAGTATCATTTCAAGCTCAAGTGCGCGTTAGCTTGATCGAGAGAGAAAATTAATAATGCTTACATCTCAGTGTTCTGGAAGAAAATTAAGATGAGTCTGCCGCTAGTGACGCAGTGACTAGGGACGTTCTTTTTAAGTACGGGTCTGCTTCCATCCCCACTCCGAGTTGATAGTACTACCTGTTCGCGACTGTCTTCCTCTTCAAGTTAAGGCTATCACCCAATTGCTACGGGAGACTACGCCCAGAACTCGATCAACGGTCAGCGGCGCCTCAGCCTGAAAGATATTCTGAATTTGTTCTGAATCACACAAAACTGTGGCGCGCACGCGGGGTACTTAATTTATAATTGGATATGCATGATATATCGTAAGGAGAATTTCAAAGAGTAGAATCATTATGCGCGTAATAAGTTATAACGTACTATTGGCAAGGTAAGTTTACAACCGGAATGAGGAGAAGCTATCGAACCGGAAGTCAAGTAGCTCCCACGTCTTTCTTAATCCTATCGGCCAATTGCTTTGCTACGTCCGGAGACAAACCGCACCTCTTGGTAAGGCGAGGGGCAATATTATCCTTCTTCGAACGCGATTTTCCCAAAACTAGCCCCCTCATCTTTTGCATCAACGACACGAACAGGTTGTCTCCTCCTCTCCATGCTCGCTTCTGCCCGTCAGCAGTGAACTCCTTGACAAGTTTGCGGATCGTGGTGCGCGATTGCTCATGCCGTTCTGGACAATTGCCTCGAATGGCGGTGATGCACGCATGACCATCGACATAGAACTCCTGGTGACGGAAAGTATCTTGGTTTCTCTTCCACCAGTCATCCATCTCCCCGACTTCGTTTTCGAGATATGTTATCACTATAACGATAGGGACCTTCTTTTCACAAAGGAATTCGTTAAAGAGCCGGTAATTGTTTTGAAGCGTGGCGGTGAGTCGGCCTGCGCGCATGCAGAACATGAGTAAATCAATGCCGCCTTGTTCCTCCAACTTGTGGATGAGACCATGAGCATTCTCGACAGCATCGAGATACTGTGGGATTCCCAGCTGTGGTTCCTCGAGTCCGACAGTATCGAATATATTGTAAGAGGCGCCATCGAATTTTATGGGATATTCCTCCCACTTCAGCGTACAGCGTGACAGGTCACTGGATGTCTCTGCTACGTTCATTCCCGCAATGAGATTGATGAGTGAGCTTTTGCCTGCTCCTCCCTGCCCAAAGAGAACGATGTTTATATGCTTGTTTCTACTTATTATCGTTGAAAAAATATGGCACAAGGATCTTGTCTGGACTCTACGCACCTTGTATCTGAGTTCATCGCAATTTGGAATGGATGTTCAGGATGTTACTAGGGTACCGTAGCGTTTGACCGCATTTCTTTTTAAAACCCTACGCATGTTGACCATGCTCCTTGCACTCATACTTTAGACGCCTCACCGATCAAATAGTGACTCAACAATTTGCCTACGGGTTGCCGCTATAGAGCCGCATCTGTCAAATGAACTCGAGGCAAACTCGTGTTGATGATACAATTCGAGAAATTAACTCCTAGTCACCTGTTAGAAGAGTTTGGTGAGCGTCATAACCAAATACGAATTACATTCAAAGATTATTTCAACGAGTTAGAGAACGAGTGCTAGAGCCCCTGCAACTCCATGCAGCTTTGGGGCAAGATAGCAGAGGCGGTGTCTGTGACGATCGTACGATTCGTGATGTGGTTAAGAAAAATGGAAGATGTGAGATGGGGAACCAAATTATGTAAAACGGCGACTGACATTCCTAGGCCTCGAGATTATGTCGTGGCTTAGCTTCTTCAACTTCTCGTTACGGTGAGGTGCATCTCATACTAGTACAACTCCGACACTCGAGTCCTAGTAGCGTGTACAAGCAAATCTAACCATCTACAGACCGAAGCTCCGAGCAGCGTGGGGTACTTACATAACAATGACTCAACATTGTAACACTACCAGATTACGTTTGCGCAGTGTTAGAAAGCTTCTTTGTCTGAGCCCGAGATAAGCGCATCGTAAGTATTCCGGATATCGTGGTGTATAATTACCCGTGTGCAAAGGGTCCGTTTTCGTGGAGGTCTTGAGAACAGCCTTGACCTTGAGCAGAAGTTCATGCACATGCATGTCGCCGGCAAGCCGCTAACTCGGAGGCTACCAACAACCCCCGAGAACCAGCGAGTCTTGGCCCTACATGCGGCAAATCAGTGCTCAATTGAATGGATGCGACTCAGTGGGTCAGCCGAGCGCAGAACCTTGGCCAGTGACAGTGTCTAGTTTTGACGCCGTAGAACATATCGATTTCGTCGAGGTCTTGACACTTTCCACTTCAGTACAACATACACTGTACCGTGACTAGTACTTTCCCTGATTCCAGGACTCTAACACGATACGCGTCACATACATAATTACGGGACTGATTCGTGGACAAGGCTCTCCAGCATGTTGCTGGCTGCAGTCATCAACTCCTTCACAGCAATTGTGATCCCCTCTTGCTACTCTAACCTTGCATCTCCGGACCCATCTCCAGAACATCATCCACATCTCTGATGAGATTGTCGAGACCAGATTTCGAAGCGTTGTGCATGTACTGCTTTGTGCGTTCCACAAGGACAAGGAGCTCGAAGCCGTGTGTTCTGCGAATGGTATAGGGAAGATAATACCACACGCATCTCATCATGTCCTACCACTGCTGCTCTGTAATAGAATCGAGCGATGGAACCGACGTTCGCGCAGATGTGATTTGGAGTAGGATACTTGCTATGTAAAAGGCATGCTGACTGTACTATTCGTAATTGCAGTACGTTGGAATCATGCTAATGCACCGATCGATACGGTGATCCCCAGACAAATGAGGACGCCACTTAGAATTCCTCACGAGGGCACAGACCAGTTCGACATAGCACAAGTCGCGGTCGTAATCGAAAAAGTGGTCAAGATCATCATTGGTGGGTGCTGTACCTGAGTGCGAAAAAAGTACGGACAGAATAGCGGGGGAGAGCCGACTTAACGAGGCTCTCGACGAACAGATGTTGTTTAGCTGGGCTGCAGCTCACTCCTATGCTACCCAGTAGCAAAAGGATGTCGTATGCTGCTCCATGGTCGGCGGCACAGATGTAGTCGAGGTAGTCCACCAACCAGTCAAAGTCTTCTGGTGTAACGAAACCGAGGCATCATTTTGTTCGGAGGACCTCGCTCGTGCATAAACCTTCTTGCACACATCCAGGTTCCGCATGGTGTGGGATGAAGGATCGTGATATCCAGCAAGCTCGAGGATGCGACAGATAACGTCGAGGAGGTTCCATGCCCGACGCGCAACTCCTGTGCTATCATCGTCGAGTTCGCCTCCATCCCATGCCCAGAGAGCCTTTTGGAACTGCGCCAAAAGGAGGCTATGGAGTTTAGGCAAAAAAGAACTACACGATCTCTTTGTTAATCATGGTAGAAAAACCACCAAATGAGTTGATGGCACCTTTCATCAATCCGAGCTATGCCTTTCTTGTCAACCTGAGTGCCGACTATGACGCAAGCAAGAAGTATGCAATTGGCTATGTTTTGAGTCGACGGAGGGGATGGAGAGGATAGCAATTTTGATATCACCGTTATCGCGAGGTCTTCGAAGTTCTATGTCTGTGTTCGCTTGTCCAGTAACAAAGTGATAAGGAAGAAGATGCGACAGCCGCTCAAGCGCTCAAGGACGGAGTTTCTAGCTGCCGAAGTAGAATAAGTCCCGCTAAATCATGTAAGAAACGTGATATTTTACAGGTGCCTCACTGTACGAAACCAATGCATTTAGACAGCATGGCCCGGCGGTTGTAATATCCAGATGAAATCACGCAGCTACGCCGCCCCCAATGCCCCCAATGCCCAATGCCGGTTCTCAGAATCTCACTGGCACGTGTACGAAACATGCTGAATACAAACGTCTTCATCTGCCTGGTCATACCGACTCCGATGTTCTAATGAGAAGGCTACTAGTAGCTGAAGGAGAGCCGACGCTACTCAAAAACAGTGAAGGCGCAAGTCAAGACCTACCTTTCGCTTTCTTATCTTGAGTCATTATTGCAATGTCGAGTCCCCGCACACAACCATCTAGTGTGAGTTGTTTGACTCTTCCTCAGCTAACTTACTAAGGTTAATTTGTAATCAGGAGCCCTTCATCTCACCGCAACGTCACAGTATTGTTGATTCCGGCCCTACTGAAGTCGGGGAACTTCCACACCTCACAGGCGCGTTCAATGTTGTTATTTGCGGAGAAACTGGATCTGGTAAAAGTTCCTTGGTCAATTTGATCGCTAAGACCAACATGGCGGTGACATCTTGCGATGCTATGGGATGTACAACTACAACCAGTGAGTACGAGGTTTTGATTCTGAACGGGACGTTGAAGGTGAAGTTTTTCGATACAGTCGGTCGGTCCAGTTCCCCGCTCTTCGTGGCTATTACTGAATTAGATTTCAGGTCTGGACGAGGGCCCCAAAGGCACGGTTCCAGATAAGGACGCTCGAAAAATTTTGGAGAAACTCCTTCGAACTTTGACGGAGCAAGGCGGTATTCATCTCGTGATGTACTGTGTGCGGGGTGAGAGAGAGATTCGGACACTCCGCCGGAATTACGAGTTAATCCGCTCCCAAGTCAAGGGGAAAGTTCCAATCGTCCTTGTCGTCACATGTTTGGAATTCCGTCAACCAGAGATGGAAGACTGGTGGAGGATTAATGAGCGGACCATCTCAAAGCTCGGGATGACCTTCGCTGGCCACGCATGTATCACCACGGCGACAATGGCAGATCCTATGTTTGTGCAGCGCCGCACTCAGTCATACGACGCTGTCTGCAAACTCATCGAGCAGTGTCACCCATCGAATAATCACACTGGACCGTCACTACTATTTAGAAAGACTGCGAGGTGCGTATTCCCTATACTCTTTGTATCGCATTTCCCTGACATTCACCAGCAGCAACAAGCACCCAAATGTTGCCATCTTTGGGCAGGCAATGGCAGGCAAAAGCTCAGTCGTCAATCTCATTGCGGGAAAGAAGGTAGCAGAGACATCCATTGACCTAAATCGGTGCACGCTGAAGTGGAAAGAATATCCTGTCGAATTCGATGGCGGCTCTTACAATATATTCGATACTGTTGGACTCGAGGAATCACACCTGGAAATCCCACAGTACCTCGATGCTGTCGAGAATGCCTATAAGCTCATCCAGAAATTGGAGAGACAAGGCGGCATCGATTTACTCATGTTCTGCATGCGCGCAGGCAGACTCACAGCTACGCTTCAAAGCAATTACCGGCTCTTTCACGAATTCCTTTGTGAAAAGAAGGTCCCCATCGTTATGGTGATCACATACCTCGAAAACGAAGTCGGGGAAATGGATAAGTGGTGGGAGAGAAACCAAGATGCTTTCCATCACCAGGAGTTCCATGTGGATGGTCATGCGTGCATCACCGCCATTCAAGGCAATTGTCCAGAACGGTATGAGGAATCGCGCACCACGATCCGCAAATTTGTCAAGGAGTTCACTGCTGACGGGCAGAGTCGAGCATGGGAAGGAGGAGACAACCTGTTCGTGTCGTTGATGCAAAAGCTGAGGGGGCTAGTTTGGGGCAAATCGCGTTCGGAGAAGGATGATATTGCCCCTCGCCTCATTGAGAGGTGTGGTTTGACTCCGGACGTCGCAAAGCAGTTGGCCCATAGGATTAAGGACGTAAGAGCTACTTGACTTCCCGTGTTTGATAGCTTGTGCTCATTCCGGTTGTAGACTTACAATGTTTGCCATACATTATAACTTATTACGCGCATATCTTTGAAATGTTTCTTGCGTACAATTCCCTATGTCCAATCAGAAATAAGCACCCCACATGCGCCGGCCTTGACTAGACAGCGAACAGAATGGGAATGGAAGCAGACCCGTCACCTGTACTTAAAAAGAACGTCCCTAGTCCCTACTAGTAGTGGACACATCCTCCAGAACACTGAGATGTAAGCCTTATTGTAAGGCTTCAGAGTTGAATGAATCAAATTGAGGGGTTTGCTGGATATCAGTCGGGGACTAGCGCTTGCGCCGTTCATCAGCGAATGGATGATTCCTTGATATTGTAGCCGTCACCAGTCATCTGCATCAACCTCACGTTTACATGATCGCACTTGTTCGTTCTCTCCTGATGAGAGGCGAGCAGACACGAGGGGATAGCAGAGCTAATAGAAAAATATATTATCCCAGTATTCTGGAAGAAAACTCTTTACACACTACTAGTATCAAAGCTTAAGTGCGCGTCAGCTTGAATGATCGAGAGAGAGAAATTTGATAAGGCTTAGCATCTTAGTGTTCTAGGAAAAAATTGAGATGCTGTCTACTGCTAGTGACGGGTCTGCTTCCATTGATCCCGCTCCGAGTTTATACCTGTTCGCGACTGTCTTCCTCTTCAAGTTAAGGCCGCCTGCCTAACTACTACGGGAGACTACATCTACAGACCCGAAGCTCCCAGCAGCCGCCAGCGTGTGGTACTTACATAACAATGACAACATTGTAAAGCACTACCAAATTACGTTTGTGCAGTGTTAAACCTTCTTTGTCTGAGCCCGAGAATTCTAGATATCACGGTGGTGTATAACTTATTACCCGTGTGCACAGGGTCCATTCCTTGGAGTTCTTGAGAACAGCCTTGACATTGAGCAGAAGTCCATGCAAAGTTCATGCACCTGCATGTCGGCAAGCCGCAAACTCGGAGGCTGCCGACAACCCCCGAGATACGGCGAGTCTTAGTTCTACATGCGGCAAATCATTAACCAGTGCTCAATTGAATGGATGCGACTGCAACTACTTCACAACAAAATGATCTCCTCTTGCTGCTCTAAACCTTGCATCTCCGGACCCATCTCCAGAACATCATCCACATCTCTGATGAGATCGTTGAGATTAGATTTCGAAGCGTTTTGCACGTACTTCTTTGTGCGTTCAACAAGGACAAGGAGCTCGAAATCGTGTGCTCTGCAAATGGTATATGGAAGATAATACCACGCGCATCTCATCACGTCCCACCACTGCTGCTGCTCTGTCATAGAATCGAGCGATGGGACCGACGTTTGTGTAGGTGTGATTTGGAGGAGGACACCTGCTATGTAAAAGGCATGTTGGCTGTAGTCTTCGTAATTGCAGTATTTTGGAATTATGCTAATGCACCGATCGATATGGTGATCTTCAGACAAATGAGGACGCCAGTTAGAATTCCTCGCGAGGGCACAGACCAGTTCGACATAGCACAAGTCGCGGTCATAATCGAAAAAGTGGTCAGGATCATCATTGGCGGGTGCTGTACCTGGGTGCGGAAAAAGTACGGACAGAATAGCGGAGGAGAGCCTGCTTAAAGCCATGTCCCATAGCCTTGCATCATCAATGGCACTGATCGAGGCAATTTCGTCTTGGGCACTGAGCAGCGGGAAGATCGGTATGGCATAAATGGGGAGGCATGTCACTGCCCATGCAGGTGATGAGGCTCTCGATGAACATATGTTGTTTAGCGGGGCTGCAGCTCACTCCCATGCTACCCAATAGCAAAAGGATGTCGTATGCCGCTTCGTGGTCGGCGGCATAGATATAGTCGAGGTAGTCCACCAACCAGTCGAAGTCTTCTGGTGTGCGGGAACCGCGTTGCAAATGCAGGGAAGCATCCCACAACTGGGCAGGGTCACGGAATACGTTGGCAGCAGCGAACGTGCCTTTCGTAGAGCTGGCAACGAAACCGAGGCATCATGTTGTTCGGAGGACCTCGCTCGTGAATAGATATTCTTGCACACAGCCAGGTTCCGCATGGTGTGGGATGCATAATCGTGATATCCAGCAAGCCTAAGGATGCGACAGATAACGTTGAGGAGGTTCCATGCCCGACGCGCAACTCTTGTGCTATCACCGTCGAGCTCGCCTCCATTCCATGCCCAGAGAGCCTTTTGGAACTGCGGCAAAAGGAGGCCACTGAGTTTAGGAAAAAAAGAACTACGTGATCTCTTTGTTAATCATGGTAGAAAAACCACCAAATGAATCGATGGCACCTTTCATCAATCCGAGCTATGCCTTTCTTGTCAACCTGAGTCCCGACCATGACCCAAGCAAGAAGAGTGCAATTGGCTATGTTTTGAGTCGACGGAGGGGATGGAGAGGATAGCAATTTCGATGTCGCCGTTGTCGCGATGTCTTCTATGTCTGTATTCGCTCGTCCAGTGACAAAGTGATAAGGTAGGAGATATCAGTGCTTCGGCGCTCAAGCTGGACGGAGTCTTTAGCTGCCAAAGTAGAATGGTTCCCGATCAAGTTAAATTATGTAAGAAACGTGATATTTGCCACAGCCCTCCGGGCATCCCAGGATCTCCATCAGTTGACTGCTGTGGAAAAGTAAGCATCAGAGGGAAGTCAACAGGAAGCGGACCATGCAAAGATCATATTCAATGGCTTGTGAAATGATGTCCGCATCACGAGCCAAAATCTCAAGACGTTGTGGCTTCGAAAGCCCCGCACGTGTGACGCGATGAAATCATGAAAAGCTACATCAGCATCAGCGAATTCATGAGTTCACAATATTGTAGCCATGTAGTGCTGCCGCGGTCCGGTTCCGAACCGTGGTTCGAACCTGACCAATGACCATTCGCAAAGGTTCGGTTTAAGGTTCGTCGATAAAGGTAGAACCGGACCTTGGTCCAGGCTCCTTCCCACCACTGGTGGAGAGGTAAGGGTGGCGGTCTATTAGTGCGGGTAGTGAAGGCTTAGTAAACCGGAAACATGCGCAAATCTTTCAAACCCAGCCGAACCTTATCCACCCAACCTCTCCACCAGCGGCTGGCACAAAACGTTTGTAAACAACGTCAGCCACAGTCGGGAAACCCAGAAAGAGACGGCGGAGGTTCAATTTAGTGTAAAAAAATATATCGTGAAATATATAGTTTATATGGGTTTGTTCCCAAGAAATTGACCTTTTCTGTCTCATGCCGGCTGAAGCCCCTAGCTTCTCTGCTATCTGAGAGAAGCTACATAATTGTTTTGGCAAGAGAGCCTGCTTGTGGCAACTCAAAGTCGCAGATGCTTTCCTGCAAAATAACTGTGATATTATCTGCATCGCAGGGACAGGGATGGGTAAAACACTTGCCTTCTGGTCACCATTAGCACTCCGGGACACAGGCATTCTGATTGTCGTGACTCCACTCAACCAACTAGGGCAACAAAGCGTCAGTTTCCTCGAAAAGACTGGTATAAAAAGCATCTCGATCTCTGCTGAGACAGCGAGCATGGCAAATTTCTCTGTAAGTTCAAGAGTATCTGTTATGAGCAATTAATCAATGTGTTCACTGCAGGGAATAGAAGACTTGTGTTACCGTGCAATCATAACCAGCCCAGAACAATTGATGAAGCCAGGCGGAGCATTTGAGAAGCTGTTGCGAAATGTTGATTTCGCCTCAAAGTTAATTGATATCATCTTTGACGAAGCTCACTGCATTGTGACTCAGACCTGATGTTAGATGCTTGAGAGTTTCCGTTGAGTTTTCGATCTTGTGCTCATGGGTTTTCAGGTCTACATCAAAGTTGTCATAGGCATATGCCGCGAGAAGTGACTGACCGAGTGACCGGAGATGTTGGTGGGTTTGCGCTGCTAACGATTGCGTCCCGGAAAGAATAGCATTTACGGACACTGATATACCCATCCGCTCCAGCGTTTCAATGACTTTTTGTGGTGTGTGCGTTGATTGTAGGAACATCCCGAGTAGACTTTGCAAGGTATTTGAACACTGATTTGTGCTTCTCATCATAATGCTCAGAACGGTGATTTTTTTCTTGATTACATATAGCGATGTCAGTAATATTGATCTGGAAGGTGGTGAAATAACACACAAGCAAGGTCTTTGCTGCCCATTGTTTTTGCAATTTGGTTCTCTCAGATTCCGTGTTGTTGGCAAGGCTTGATATCAACGATCCCTCGAGATCTCCTTCCCCAACTTCCTCCCAGTAAGCCTCTTCATCACTATTGCTAGTTTCCATGATGACGTCACCATCATGATCTCTCCCAATTGTTGTATTAGATTGTGTTCTCGCAGACAGCATGCTGTCGAGTAAGTTCCATGTTACTGGCGCATAATTCTCCATGATTATGGCTAACTCAGCCACCCTAAAATCCTCCAGTTGCTTCACTGTAATGTGTGTCACATTGAAATGAGTTCCACTACCCTTAGCAGTAAGGTTAAGGATCTCCTGTGCGCAGATGTCCTTCGTAATATCGGTAGCCCAATTCGATAGAGTACTTGAAGTTTGTTTTGTAAGAGCATTAACAATTTCACGTCCATTCGAGAGTATATCTTTTACAGCCAGATGAGTGCTATATTTTTCACTCGAGAGAAGCACCAGTATAAATTCTGAAGCTGAAATGCCGACGCGCTGCAGGGTTTCAAGAACATCGTCCACTGGGTCGGATAATGACATATTGATATATATATATAAATTCGTTAGCAATACAATATCTAAATTGAACCTCTGCCGTCTCTTTCTGGGTTTCCCGACTGTGGCTGACGTTGTTTACAAACGTTTTGTGCCAGCTGCTGGTGGAGAGGTTGGGTGGATAAGGTTCGGCTGGGTTTGAAAGATTTGCGCATGTTTCCGGTTTACTAAGCCTTCACTACCCGCACTAATAGACCGCCACCCTTACCTCTCCACCAGTGGTGGGAAGGAGCCTGACCTTGGTCCGGTTCTTGGTTCTTGTCAAACTGCCTCTGAACCGGACCGAACCGGACCACAGCAGCACTATAGCCATGGTGACTATAGAAATATATAATTCTGCTTCTGCCAAATATATCTATTTATACGCCAATAATTTTGACTTGCTAGTACATATGTATGGATGAATGCAAATCTATGCTACACTGAGGAATTGGTGACAACATTGGGACATTGGGACATCCCCACCAGCAAGGGACTACGGAGGAATTGTGTCCAAGTCATTAAACATGTTCACCTACTGTAAATTAATTCTTCAATGACAAACCTATTTATGACTTTATCATGGAAAGTAGCACTAGCAGTGAACATCAAATATATATTAACGTTGGAGTCTGCGACAATGTTATGACATTGTACAATTACGACGTAAAAGTGAATGGTGGGCAATTGTTCCTAATTTGTCAAGCATCTGCATTTTCCGTCGTGTGTGTTTTGCATTACCTGACAAAGGATACATATGTAATATGCATAATATTGCTACAGTACTGGAACACAATATAAAATTCTCAATGCAAAATGACTTTCGCACTGGTCAACAAATTTAGAGCAGTTCTCAATGAAGGCATGGCAGCCGGTCTTCACAACATCGCGGGGATTTTCTCTTTAATCCAAGCAAGGTCTTTTTGATACTTCAGAAGTTCACCGCGACAGCAAAGACGGGAAACACAATTGAATACCCTCCTGCTAGATTGATCAGAATCGTGTCCATAAGTACTATATACAGGATGTAAAAGCTGATTGTCTAAAAGTTGATTGTTGTCCTACAGTGTGTTCCATCATCCTCAGAGATATCATTCGAGATCCCCCTCACTCGGAAGATTGCATATCACCTTGCACAGGAAATGATTGAGAACATTTCATGAAGGGCGTTTCTGGTCGAGCTTCATAATTAAGAACAGGAAAAAGTGGAGATACGTACCAGTGATGGAATCATCTTTAATCTCGCCATAGACTATGGCGTCTCCGACAGACACAAAGCCGGATTCGGAAAGCATGACAGTAGCCTTGATCACCGGATCAACTGCGCCGCGCTCAGTAAGATTATCAATGGCCTCGTGAATGCCAACATTCTTTGCCTCGAGGATCTCGTGGGAAACCACTAGGAACAAAGTTAATAAAATATGAACATTTGTATAGATAACGAATGAGATATTTGCCTGTAAGTGTGTCAGACAATATTTGCAAGACAAGCCACGGGCACGCATACCAATGAAAGGTCAGCATTCGCAAGTGCATCATAGGTGGGTCTCGCAAAGCGTGGATGAAGGTCATTACAGACGTCCTCAAATTCCGAGCGAGCAACCTTAGTCTTGAAGTCAATGTCAAATGCAACACTCTCCACCTGAAAACTGTGAGTATTGAGACTACATATTATATTTAGCCAGCTTGCTTACTGTCGACATTGCGTCTGAGTTAGCACTGAGGATAGCATTGACACATCCAGCCTCCTTCCAAAGTTGAGCCATAGTGTGCCTATCCTTTTGGATATCCTGGCGGTGCTTTAACATAAATTTGTCGCGCGTATTTCGATCATGCCCAACGCTCAGAACGTTGAAATGCGCGTATGACGCCTTCATCTTGGGCTCACCGGCTGCAGCAAACGAAATCATGGTGACACGTGTCAAAGATACACCGGTGTCGTAAATCACATAGTATTCGGGAGTGGTTGAAAAAGTCCTCGTCATAGCGTAGTTGACTGCTACAGCCGTGCTGGAAATGTGAGTGGTGGATATGGAGGTGTATCAGAGTTGAATGATACACTTTTAGGGATGAGAATGGGTCTTCAGGGAAACGATACGCCTGTGTCCTGTCAGACCAGGGGCAGAAGGCTGTGGAGAACGCGGCACTCACAATGTCCGCCACGCCAGCAGCCTTAGTTGTAGTATTTGGCCAAACTAACGTGGTTGTTGCCACGGATCCATTGACACTTTTCATGGTTGTTGCCACCACCCCAATTTGGCACCTCTGGTCAAATTAGGGTTACCTGCAGCATTAGGGTTACACTTCGACAACACATATTTAGCTCAGTCAGACTTCGAACTTTCATCACCTCAACGGGTCAAATTAGGGTTACCTGCAGCATTAAGGTTACACTTCAACGACACATATTTAGCTCAGTTGGACTTCGAACTTTCATCACCTCAACTACCCATAGAATAGGGTTTTCCGTCTGAACAGTACTATTAATAATTCCATTCCAATAATATAATATACATAATCCTGCTCGCGCCACTCACATCATCACCGTACATTTTCATCTCACTATACCGTCCAGTGTGCGCCTCTGTGGAAACAATACAGCATTAATGAGGTAAGCGGTATGGGCTCACATTGCCAGTATTAATGTGAGTTTATGTCTATCAGCGACACTAATAACACAGTCCCAACGGTCAGAAGTGACTTTGATCCCCTCCAATATGTTGAAAAGCTGCAGCGAAAATGGGCCAAAGGAACTTGCCTAGAGTTTTTCACCAGTAGGTTAGAGAAGTATAAGGTTGAACTTTTGGAAAGCAGGCACCGCGCCAACGACTATATCGACTTAGTGATTAACGAGTATTTCCGTCATTATCATTGGAAGCTCAAAGTTAACGAAGAACCAACAACACCGTATGACTCATCGTGACAGATCATCCCGGAGATACTCAATGATGAGGAGTCTGAGCAAAAAAAACAGAAGGTTACTGCAATGACCAAGGTATGTACCATCTACTCCAACCTTAAACTCGCTTGTCACTCGATGTGTTGTTAGGCTATTCGCAACTGGTTTGAGTACCGCTCTCGAAAGTTAAACCCTCTTGGTCGTCATCTCAAAACTGAAACTGGTCCATGGACCCGCTTACTCAAGCAACTCTCCGGGGTAGTGAAAAACAAACCAAGGGCATTGCAAGCCCACCAGCACTGGTCGAAAGACCATTTCGACACTGATCTAAAAGAAGAATTTGAGGAGAAATGGAAATGCGCTCAGAAGCCGGCCAAGGAAAGGGCTACGTTCTATGATCAACTGACGCGACAACATTTTCTCAGTCTAGACGAAGACATTCGCAAGACATATGAAAAGTTGGCAGAATCGGAAGGGATTGCTAATGTCGAGGCTTGGAAAGCTGCACTTGCTGCTCCTGCTTCCAAACTACCTGCTGATCGTCAACGGTGATTTTTATTTTCATATTTACAAAATGCTGCGCTCAATTTTAAGCATCTGAGGTGCCCTTGATCAACTCCCAGAATTTGCTGGCCCCATACTCGCTGGCATATCCGACATCACAGGAATGCACTGTACTTTGTTTGTTGGCGGTCCTGAGCCTCGCAGGAAAGGCCAATTAAGCGTTATCACGTCAGTCTTCCCTTAACTTTTCTTCTCATGCATTGATTGTGCTATCCAGGATGCATGAGGGTGTTGATCTCAGTGATCACCCCAAAAACTGGCAAATGGCTGACAAGACCAAGTTCAAAATTGCGACAAGTCTTTTTCAAGAGTTCTTGGCTACATGCTACAGTAAGTACAATATACTCTACTCACCCATCAACTAATACTGTGTATAGCTGAAGCGGATAGGGAAGGAGCAAGTCTAGACGATGACAGCGACACATCGACAACCCCCATTTTACCTGCCATTGAAACTGATTCCAATGCCATCGTGGAGCCTGATGCCACTCCCATAGCACAACCGTCAGCAGTGGATGGTTCCTCGCAGACCAAGGTGGCTAAGAAGAGCCAGAAGTGGAGGGCCCATGCCAAGAATCAACGCCACACTACCCCCGCTGGAGAAACAGATGATTCCTCCAATTCATCCAGTGATAGCTCCAGCAACGATGACGGCCACCACTCTGTTACCAAAGTCAAACACGCCCTTCCTTACGCTGCCACCAAAAGACCAGTCATTATCCCTCCACAACCTCGCATGACCAGATTGCAGCATCCAGCTGTTACAGCACACCCTGATATTCCTGCATCCAATCCAAGTGCTGCCGCTGATCCTATCATTGCTTCTCCGGCTGACGAGCCTATCATTACTTCTCCGGCTGATGAGCCTATCATTTCTTCTCCGGCTGGCGTGCATGATAAGCCAGGTAGGGTGTTTTTTCTCCTTGAATGTAATGACTCACTCCTGCTTGTGAACAGCTTCCAATCTTGAGACCCAGGGAGTCATCGTGGAGGAGTCTCTTAGGTCCGACAATGTGTGTGATGAACGTGACATACAGGATGGTGCCCAGTACGTAACACTTTCGATTGAATGACTTGCATTTTACATGTTCTACTCCCAGTTTTTCCGAACATATGTCTTTACCACCTGTCTCCTCTCCTTTGCAGGTGTCGTCACCCGAGCTGAGGCCCCATGAGGCTCAATCGTTAGACAACGAACTCCATGGATCCGCACCGGAACTCAAAGCTTCGATTTTCCTCCCTTCCAATTCCCCCTCCTGGGTCAATACTGCCCTTGAGTATCTCACGGCTGACACTTCCCTGCTCCCCCCTCTGTACGACACACTGGTCGTGAAATTCATTGAACTCGAGCGGACCAGTGACTTCGAGAGTCCATCTGGACCTATGTTTAATCTCAGCAGCGAGAATCGGCCCAAGGAAATCCATTGGTGGGTCTCACGCGGACGCAAGGGACGCCCTGTCATCCCTGATATAGAGAAGTATGTGACTCAATGGTGGCATTGGTGGGCTGCAGTCCAGCCTTCCTGGAGGAATATTGGCACCCCAGACTTCTCAAATCCCGACGAACTCGACCGTCAAGACGGTGACTGGGATGCTCTATCTAAGCCCGGCAAGAACGGATTCCTCAGTATTCTCGCAACTATTTACTGGTGGGCATTGGCCAATGACAGCCAAGGTTGGAAACATGCAGCGTGGGCTATCGCCGTTGCTGATGTTCACTGGGTGATGAGTCGTGTTATTGCGTTTCGTGCTTCTAAGTCTCAGAAGAGGTGAGCAATTCGAGCCTTCATTGATCTTTTTGTTGGCTAACCCATCCATGTCACCTTCAGTGTCCCCAGGAAGCGGGCGCCGGCAGATGATAGTGGCCAGACCACGAAGAAGAGGTGAGCAATTCAAACCTCCGTTGATCTTTTTGTTAGCTGATCCATCCATGTCACCTTCAGTGTTCCCCGGAAGCGGGCGCCGGCAGATAACAGTGGCCAGATCATGAAGAAGCTCTGCACTCGCCGGTGATTTGTTTTACGCTGTTTTTGACATCTCATTGTCTTGTTGTCGTGCTATCCAGCCTTCTTACCCATGCTGCATCAAATCGTACCGAATACTGCCATGTTTGTTTCGTTGTCTTGTCATCGCGCTGCTCGCCCTTCTGTCCATAACGCATTACATCACACCTAGTGTTACTTTGTCTTGATCGTTAGTAATTTCAATATAAGTTCTTTGCTATGACTCGCTCAATCGCTCGATTCACCTCAAAGTGTGTAGCATGAATTGTTATGTTACGCGTACATGTCAATGTGTCTATCCTTCTGATACTTTAACGTTTGACCTACATGCGCGATTGCAAGATGAGTGCTACCCTGGCTGACATTCCATGAGACATCCTCCAGGTATGTAATTACACGACAAATTGCCTGGCAGACTTCATCTGCAGCCCTCCACTCGTCACATACTCCACACATATCTAAAATTGAATCTTGACCAAGGAACACCTTCTCATAAATACCTTGGACCTTCAGGATGGCGTCGTCGATTACGGAAGGATCACCTGGGTCGCTGCGGTCGACAGTTTCGATATTGAAGCATTCACGAGGTATTGTTGTGACATACTTCGCAAGAATATGCTCGATGTATGCATAAGGGCCAGGTAACACGGCGAGACCGATTAGCTCATCCTTGGCATCTCGGACAATCTCCAGGCATTCAGCTAAAGTGGTGCTATTGTTACACTCAGCTGCTGCCAAATCTTCATTGAAAGGTATCAAAACTTACGGTGCAGGAGACAGATCACGAGCTGAGGATGAGGATGAGGTTGGACGATGGTCCATCTCTGGCTTGGAGGCGGAAGATCTTTTGTGTGTCGTTGGCGTACGAGATTGAAGGCGCCGTTTAGTGTTGATAATATCCTTATGGCTGTATTATGATTTTTACTCAGCTAACGATTTTACGATCAGATAATAAAAACTCACCTGTGATAGTACTTTAGTCGTTTTGTGCGTGCAGCGTGCAGCTTTGCTTCTGGGGTGGTGTGTACAGCTGGACGAGCCATGAGTAACCTAAGCAGTATAAGAAGTAAAATTTTCTACCTGTGCGAATTGGGGGGGAGAGTTCTGTTGGCCAATAAAAGCAATACAATGTCCATCGTTGCGATTATGGTCATTGAATGGTGAGAACCCGTAGTACGGAGCAGTGAGATCTAAGTGTCAAATCAGTGCTAGTTAGTCTATACAAGCCCACCTAATCCTCCGAATACCAGGAAAGTATTCGAGACTGCAGAGGTCCGGAATGTCAGTTCACTCGGTGATTAGAAATTTGTTACCAGCGGCATGTATCAATGACATTGTTGATTATGGTCCAGCGGCCTAATGGATTGTACACACTGATTTGATGTGCATATATCATTAGGTCCAACTATGCACATCAAATCAGTGAGATTCCGATATATTATTAGGCTCGTACTGGTTAGTTATATGTTGAAAGGTCAAGATAACTGTTAGCTGAGTGATCGAACGTCTGTTATCAATAGGTCTCATGACTATTGATTATGGTCCAGCGGCCAATAGATTCCGGTGTATTGCAGAGCAGTTGGACCTAAATGCACCCATATAAAACTGATATTGATCGATCGATCCTTGTCTAGGCGCAATTCAGTCACATATTCAATCATACATTTCGTTGTACATATTCAATGCGCTAGATTGGCTAAGACAAGAACTTCGGAGAGTCATATGTAAGTTACGGTTTGGTATCTACTCCATTCTTTTCTGCGTTGTGGAGCTCAAAAACTACATCACGGATAACACAACGAAGGCGTTCCAGGTACTCGGGACGATAAAGAAATCCAACAACTTTATTAGCTATGAGGTCAACTGTTCGGTGACTGTTCAGAGGGAGTCGCAATGATACGGTGAACGAACTTACTGCAATATGTTGGCATACAACCGGAATCCAAGGGTGAGGGCGAGGGCGAGGGTAAGGGCGAGGGCGAGGAATTCGGGGGGCATACAACCTCGCCGTCTTGTCCAGCCTCGTCTTGCTGCTCTGCATGCTCTCCATCGGCCTCTTCTCCATTCTTGATGACATCTGCAAGATAGATGTCACGCATGACATCTCGAACAACACTATGAAAATCCTTTGCATGCTCAGGACGACGAAACAGGGCGACAGTTGCACCGGCAATAAGATCAACTATTTTCTAACCATTCAGTGAAGAGTTGTAACATTTTGAGATTACACTACTTACCGCAGCACGCCGGCATTAGAACACGGCCAATACAAGCACCACAAGGATAATATTCGTCCACAGCAACCTTGGTGTGACCGCAGGTGTACTCGACAACTGGTACAGAGGAAGTGGTGTGGTTGTTCATTGTGGTAGGGTAAGGGGCAAATGGAATAGAGGGGGAGTATCTTATAAGGTATCAGTTATGAACGGATAGACCCAAATCAAAGATGAGACATACCGAAGAAAGCTACTTGATTGCCAAAGTAACTTGATATTTGCCGAGTGGAGGATCTCACTCGGCAGGAAACCTTCTTGCAAAAGAATGGCATTGCCCTCCTGGTATGTTGATTTTTTTCAGCCTCAATTCGTATTCATAATGGTAAAAAGCGAAAGTATATTGCTTACCACAATGACTCTGATAGCGAAGTTGACATTGGGATGTCACAATCACGTATGGTTTCATTAACTTCCGACTGTCGAAGACTAACCATTACAACGTGTTCGCCGAAGAAGATTGGGAAAATGACCACAGAACAGCCGATGAATCAATGGGAGACGAACCTTGATCTTAGTTTAGGTGATATTGGGGACGAGTATTATGTCGACGATGACAGCTTTGTCCATTTGGATTCCATAGTACAGACTCCTGCCAAGCGTTACCCATCATCAGTAAGCTATATTATGTATAGTGGAGTATACAGGAATTCACCTTTCAATGCAGGATGCGCCATTACGCGAATGGATGGGTTATGAGTCCAGAAGCGGCTATCGCGAGGAGTACCTCCTTGAGGACTTGCGTCTAGAAGGTCGCGGTAGTGCTGCAAATGAATTATGCTCCTGTGGTGAATCAGATGCAAATGGTCTGAAAGAGCGACTTTACCGGTGTGAGGACTGCTTCGGCTTGGAAATGACGTGCGCAGCATGTTGCGCAGCGTCACATCGACAATTGCCTTTGCATGTTATCAAGGTTCGTGAGTGCGTGCAGCTAAATGTCATGTTGTTCTTACTTACTATGTTTCAGAAATGGAATGGGTCATCATTTGAACAAAGCAGCTTAAAAGAGATAGGATTGAGAGTGCAACTGGGGCACAGTGATTTGAAATGTGTGTGTCCTGAGCGTGGACACGTGGATTTCATAGTTATACATGTGAACGGAATCCATCACGTCAACGTTGATTTCTGTGGCTGTGACCAATGTGTTTCCCATCGTCAACAGCTGCTTCGTTGTGACTGGTACCCTGCGACAATCCATTTCCCACAAACCGCATGCACAAGGCGTGTACTCGAATATTTTCTTGTTATGACATGGTCAAGCAAGGTCTCGGGGCATGAATTTTATATGACGCTTGAGCGTTTGACAGACAACGTGGGATTGAATATTCCCAATGTGAGTCCCTTATGTACTCTGTTGTTCAACTCTCAACTAAAGTACTAACATGACTTAGAGCCAATACAGGGCCTTCATGAGGACAATCCGACAGTTCAGGCATATTAGAATGATGAAGCAAGCGGGTCGAGGAAATGTTGGAGGAGGAATTGCTTCAACGGAACCAGGCGCGCTTGCAGTACAGTGTCCTGCCTGTCCGCACCCTGGAATCAATTTACCAGGAGACTGGGAACAGATAGACGTCTCCCTAAAGTGAGTTCAAGTTGTTCGCGTGTCTCTTTCCATCTACTGACATTGGCAAACAAGGTTCCTGTATGCTATATTCCTAGCTCTAGATGCCAATTTTCGCCTCAAGAACCGTTTGCGGTCATCCAAAGCTGGCGATCCTGGGTTGCATACTGGTCTCGCATACTTCGTGCCCAATGAGCCTTACAGGGCACATATTTTAAATAATGCTAGCCAGAACGATGTAAGATAATCTTCCTTAGTAGTCATCAGTGTCTGACATCTTAAACAGATAAGTTCATGTAGCGGTTTCAAGACACTGGCGCACGCTGAAACCAAGTTTTCCAACGGTCTTCGGGCCACTGGTGTTGGGCTTTGCCTGTGTGCACGTCACGAATTTGTTCGACCTGTTGGCGTTGGAGACTTGCAGAAGGGCGAACGGTAGGCGATTGATTTATTTCACACATTGGTTGAACTCATGTCATCAAATAGATATGCAAATATGGATTACATTTTTTTCTCGACAATTACGCCGCTGTTACTTCTTTCAGTGGTCATATCTTACGATATCGCATGCCAATGGAAGTTGAATCTCTTGAAACGTATGTTGGCACTTCCGGAGGACATTCAAATACCCGTGGTTACTGCCGTTGCTGCATTCCTATTTGCTGTCCCAAAGTTTCATGCACCGGCACACGAGGAGAAATGTTCGACCCCCCATTCACTCAATCTAATGCCAGGAGTGGGCCGCACGGACGGTGAAGGAATTGAACGAAATTGGGCTGAGATGAATTGTGTGGCAAATAGTACGAAAGAGATGGGACCGTGTTCACGGCACGATACACTCGACGATCACTTCAGGCATCACAATTGGCGTAAACTTACTGGTCTTGGTAAGTCCTCAGTCGCCCTAGCTGGCATTCAACTAACTTCATATTAGGTCTTTCTCTTCGTAAGAAGCTGCTGCTTGCCCTCAAAGAGAACAGACGGCAGAGAGAAATGTTTGCTGAGTTCGATGCCGCAATTGATGCTCCCCAACATGATGAGTGGCTTGCCATGATATTAGCATGGGAGTCTGATAAGGCACAAAGTAATCCTTATCTCGTTCTGAACACCAGTAAGACTGATTTTGTAATCTGCCTATCAAGTATCACTGAATGTATTACAGATCTAACAGAGGCTCAAATGCACGCTGCGATGGCAGAAGAAGAGAAAGATGCTATTGTGTCTGGCAGAGTCCTCCCACATGAGACATCACCAAGCGCTTTCATACATCTTGGGTTTTCAATTGAGGACACACAGTTAGTACATATTTACCGTGTTTTCCCAATGTCTCACCAAATTATCTAGACGGCACGTGAAAAATGATGCAGAACGGACTTCATCCTTGAGCTCTGACCAAGAGAGTGATTTACACCACCGTCGTGCAGGCTTGCACAGGCAAATTTGCCGCTTCCGCAAGATCCAAAACGTTTACATGCTGGGGATCAATGAGTGGGTCGAGCAGCATAGTGTCGATCAATCCCCCCATCCAGAGGACGTTGAGCTGTGGTTGCCATCTGCATTGAACGCTCAGTCTAGATCTTCAATGTGCAGGTACGACATTGAAATCATCGAGTCAGAGCTTCGCAAAGGACAATGCAGAGACGCCCTTGACAAGATGCGAAACCTCCTACGCACCAAAACTCACTTTGTCAAACGACGGAATTTAGACATCCGCGGTCAACGGGCTAATACTCGAGCATGTGCGCTTATCGACTGTATTGACGACAAAGTCTGACTGGCAGGAATCAAGTATACGAAGTCGCGAAAGGCGCTGCTCACTCTCATTGGTGAGGGAGACTGGGTAACCGAGCTCCAACTGCTCTTACCTAGACATATCGTAGGCCCTCACGATCCACTGGAGGAAGAGCCATCGTCACGTACAATTAGGCGAGAGCAAGATATGCAAAATGGCCTGGGCGAAGGATTTCATGTGACCTTATGGATTTGGACCACCAGAGGTGTGCTCGGTGATAACTCTGATGCATTGCTGAACGATGGTATGTGTAATATCCTTCCATGTGGTTTATTTAATTTTTTTTTTAGCCGTGCGTGTTGAGTGGGCAAAAGCACGTGCTCGCTCCTTGAGGTGGTCAGAAGAGGTTCTGTTACTCAAGGAAGAAATGCGACAAGTTCGCCAGTATTTAGACTGGCGAGCACAATGGTGGGAAGCACGTGCAGAGCTAGACCATCATGACAAAGGTATTGTTGAGGGTGCACGTGCATATGCATATCGTCAGTCCGCAATTCAGCGTGCACTGCTCTCCCGCTTCACTGCTCTATGGGAGGCTCAATCCGCATTTAACCAAAGTCGCAAATTTTCACGCATGTTCGGTGGTGGTGTACAAGATTCGAACACTGACAATGAGCCGTTTTCAATACAGGCGGATGGAGCAGAGGACGAGGACGAGGACAAGGTAGATGATGTAGACTGATTTGTGCTCTTCATTACCTTTTTTGATATTGAATATATCTTGTATTGTGGCGATTTAATATTCATGAATTAACGGGTTTGAAAATGGTATACACATTTAATGGGTTTGTAAGCAAGCTGTGGGTAGCAGAACTAATATTCATGAATAAACAGGTTCGCAAACGGTATACATCTATTTAATGGGTTTGTAAGCAAGCTGCGGGTAAGAGAACTGGCAGGAGCCAGATGGGAGGTCAAATGAGGTCAAATAGGCCAAGTGGCAACAACCATGAAAAGTGTCAATGGATTCGTGGCGGCAACCACATTATTAGGTCAAACCTTACGACCAGGGGTGGCGCCAGACCCAAATGATCTTTCCTCTTTCTTCCATGCTATGGAGGACTATACCTTCTGCTTGAGGGACTTGTTCGCTAATCCGTCTCATATGCAGAAAGTGCGGGATTTGGTCAGTCTGCATGAGGTCTATACAAACAAGTCACAGACTCATCATCTTCTCCCTGCCACGTTGCCCACCATGCCCACAGACAACATATCATTGACTGCAGCTCCACCGCTGCCAAATATTCCAGGTGCCATTCTGCAGATGTCATCAACCGGACTTGTTGTTAATTGCACCTACTGATGCGTGATGATGTCAGAACAGATAACCCGGAACCTGCCGGCAAAACACACCCAGATGTGTTCCAGACTTTGCCCAGACGTGTCCCCTAGACTTTGAGGCGGAGTCTGCGCAGACTTCACAGAGACCAGCCATGCCCTCCTCGTATGAACCTGAATCATCCGGAAAATGCCGGAGACAGTTTAAATATATCGCTATCCAAATTGGGACGGTCCTCCTGGACAGAATCATTCCACAATGAAAGTATGTATTCATTCGCATTCGATTCAATCTTTCATATAAAAACTCTCTCTAGTACTACTATGAACGATAACAACAATGCTAATGGAGCCGGAAATCACAATCATGAGGTGCGTCGATGATTGTCTGACATCGGCTACTCACCAATACTAATCGATAACCAACAGATTCCAAGATACCTTCTCCAACATGCGCCAAGGCCTCGGGAGGTTAGTTTCACATTGATGGAAAGGCAACAGGTAAGTGATCTATTCATTTTGAAGCTACCATAGTGACATCGTTTAGGAATCGATGTACATCGTTTGGGCTGCCGTGCGAGGTCGCGTGCGCCAGCAAGTTTATTATCCAGGATTGCCGTTTCCTCCCTATCCGTTACCACTGGTCTGGCCAGATGACATACGGGCGATGATGGTCCTATGGGTGGCAAGGGAGCGCCGGATGTTCGAAATGGAGATGACCAAGCTGGAGTATATTCTAGGCCTCAGGGCTCGTGCGCATTAAGTACTTACAGGTAAGCTGTTTTCAAAATAAATAAAATCCGAATTGACTTACGAATTTTCAGACTGGACGAAGAGATCGTTGAAGAGTCTAGGAGATCGAAAGATTTAGCAGCTGGATAGATTGGCGATATGAGATGTACTTACAATGAATTTCCGATGCAAACTGTACGATATTTTTCAAGCGAACATTGAGGTAACTGCAATGACTCTTCGACGATGGACTTCTTGTAGCGCGGTGGAAATCGCTTGTTTTTTTGAACTTGCTTCTCTCCAAGCCTCACTAACTTGCCTGAAAAGACATCAATCAAGACGGAAACTTGGGATCAATGACTGGGTACATACCTCACACACCATATAAATACGACACTAAGCACAACGCTCTTTATCGAGTGTGTCTTCTTCATAATTGCTGGTGGGTTTTTCGGTTTGAGATATCCTATCCAGGATATACAGGCCAGTATACGCTTCTCACTGTCGAAGAAGATAAATGTACAGCATAATGATAGAGAAAATGCCCGTACCTGGCTTCAAAGTTCGAGAGGAGAACAAGAAGATAATGTTTCTGGTATACGAGCTCATCTCGCAAGGTAGACTCGCAGGTAAACTTTGCCTTGAGGTACCGAATCTGGATGACAAGGCCTTTGCACTCCTCCTTGTGCTGTTTTTTCAGCTCAACGAGCTGGTAGCCATCGCTAATTTTTTTGTTCAGCATCAAGATACAGCACGAAAGTACGACAGTTGTCACCCATGTAGCAAATCCATAATCCTTGATCTTGAACTTCTCCTGGGCTGTCTTTAGCTTCGTATGCTGGCCATTGAGCTGCTCATTCAGGAGACATATCTGAGTACCTGCTTTTTGGCTCGCTCAGCTTTCGTCAATTCATTCCTGTGTTTTTCCTGCAGCTTCTCTTTCTCTGTTCGCAGAGTTTTAAGATCACGTCCAAATGCCTCGGCATCTCGCTTGACACGTCTAAGGTCGGATTCAAGGGCTGCAACAGTGCGTGCAACATCGGTCTTCTCAATGGCCATGCAGTTTTTCTCCTCCTCGCTACGCTGTAATTCGTCGGCTTGATTGGAGAGCGCATGCCTGAGGTCATCAATTTCACCGAGATGCGAATCGAGTTGATGACGGCGGTTGTCGTGTGATGACTGTGACCTTGCATAGTCATTGCAAAGCTTGTTGACTCACTGTTCAAGTGTCGGCACAATCCAATATTGTTACAGAAAGAAACACTCACTTCTGATACTTCAGTGAACTGTCGCTGAAGCTCCTTGTGGTCCTTTGCAAGAAGAGACCGCTCTTGCCACAGCTGATCGATTGTCTCTGCATTTTCATTGACTTTGCCTTCTAGGAGACGAGCTTGCTGTTCGATGGTTGCGTTGACTGTACTTGCCAATCAGGAGTGATAATTTAGAGATGGCACTGTACGCACTTCGCAATTCGGTCTCTAGTTCATTATTTTCGTGCTTGGCTTTCTGGAGCTGTCTCTTGACATCATCAATATCCTGATAACTTATGGGTTAAAATGCTTCTGGTTATAGTCAAGGGACATACCGCCTCAGTTCGTTGTAGTTGACGAGCCACAGCACTCTTCTCACGCTGGACGTGGTTCTTCTCCAAGGACATCTGTCTGAGACGCGTCCTCTCTGCCTGCAGCTCAGCCTCGAGGTCAGCAATGATAGCCTTCACCCTCTTGACTTCCTGAGTATCAGCTCTCTATCATCGGCTAGCTTCAGTCGCTCTCTTTGCTTCTTCCTTTGCGCTTCATACTTCCATGTTCGTTGCATTAGTAGCTGGTGATACAGTATAATGGCGGGGTACATACTAGTCCCAAACATCGAATTGGCTTGATTCAAAACTTCATTGAGGTAGGCGTCCCTGCATTCGTCCGTTTCGTTGTGCGGCCAAACAACTGTCATTAACAGATCCATCACCAAGCGCTTCTGCACCCATTTGACGGCCGGACGTTCATCCTGGGGCAGATCACTTAGGGCCAATTTTTTCACCTTTTTCTGGCCTCTGCAGTTATCTGAGACAAAACTTCCAGATCCAATTGAAGGTGAGCTATTCCGCACAACGCCACTCGTGCTGCTAGTGCGAGTGCAAGGCTGCAAGCAGTGCGATAAACATTCTGAACACGTCAATCGCCAATCTGATAGAACTATTGGGCTAGATGTTAAGTTAGTGAGATCACACATGTTGGTCTTGATTTAGTTTGCATACAGAAGGATTATATCACATGGTGCGTGTAACGCCCAAAGTGCTCAGCAAGTGTTCTGGGACTGAGTATGAAAGGAGCCCATCATAGAGTCATCTGATAATGGAATACCAGAATCACGAATTTGAACATGGAGTATTGAACCAAAGATGCAGCTGTACTGTGTCTGATGGTAGGATTTCAGCAAAGGGATCGAGTACGTTCAAAATCGAAAGACATACGTCAGCTGCAACAGACCCGAATCTGAACAAGCGCAATGCAGGATTTCCAGAGGAGATGAATCAAGGATTCCTGTCACCTGGCACCTGGCACTGATTCAAGCTGTATAGTGAAAACAGGTGTCTGTAAGCAGACATCAATGCTAAAATCAGGGTACAGTCAACAGAAGAGCCGACCAGTCTTGGTCCAAGTACTGGTTCCTTCATGAGTTGTACTATGTATCACCCGTGAGCCTCAGTACGCAAGTTACGAATCTTCTCATCAAGTGAACACTGCGAAAAAATGCTTGTATAGATGAATGAAAAATCAGTGAGGAAGAAGGGCCAGATCTTCATCATGTGGGCACTTACCTTGGTCAAGTCGATGCCCTCTGGTTTCATTGTCAAAATTGCCGCAGTCCTAAGGCCTTCCTCCAGGTTCATCAACGCCTAACATGAAAAATGATGTAGGAGACACAGGGTTGAAAAACGAGTAACTTCATTTGCATGACTTGAGATGGCGTGATTGTAGAAGTTTGGCTAGTATACCTGATACGGGGCCACTCTGTGATTGGTTGTCAGATCTGGCCAGTCACTACAAAGAAGTTCTAAATGAAAGAAAGCCTATTCAGAAGCTTTACCTCCAGGAAACTCTAACACCAATCATGAGAAAACACAACAAGTGCTTTGCATGAATCCTTCAAGTTAGTTAAGTTTTAACATCACTACAAGATGTTACACAATCTGTCGTAGGGAATCTAAAAAGATAGGTCATCATTATCATCATCGTCCACATCCCCTTTGCCATCGTCTGAGTCTCCGTCTTCCATTTCGTCGTCACTAATCTCTTCATCACTCTCCTCTTCTGTATCGCCGTATCCTGCGTAACCTTCTTCGTCACTGTTACTTTTGTGGTCCCTATCTGCTTCGTTGCTGTTGGTAGCACCTCGTGACTCAAACTCGAGACAATCTTTGACCATGTTGCGCAGCACGGCCGGATGGCCAACACCAAGGTGAGTATACTGCATAAACATATCCCGATCTACAAATCTGTCCCAAAGATTAAGAATCAATGGATCACAGGAGTAGATGTATTTGCTCACGTGCTAACACAGAAAACTTCCCAATCATCTAACTCCCCTTCAGGACACGCCAACGATCGTCCGTGGCGAAGAGAGCTGACACCACGACCTGAAGCAAAGGCAGGAATCAAATGCGCACCTCGAATCACCTGCCCTGGATCAAGAAAACCGAATGCATCTGGGTCCAACCCATCCACAAAGGCAACCTTGGGAAGACATGCGTGTTTTGTGCCGGATTTATGGTTTCGTACAGGGGCCAGCCATCTGACCCACAGAACCTCGAGCTGCTGCTTCACAGGTTTGCCCCCATCATTGAGCCAGGTTTCCATATGAAAAATACCTAAAACACGAGCATACCAATATGGGTGCGTTGGTGTTGTCTCGCCTGAAAGCACCATGACGTTGGGATGTGTCCCAGGGTTGATGGTGTCATACTCACACCTCATGTCATACATGGTGTAATGTACTTGCATGGTGTGGACGGAGTAGATAGTGTCGTTAGGAATGATTACTGAGTTATGCTCTTCATCTGTGAAGTTATGGTCGCAAAAGCTGATGTCTAACTTGCACAGCCTGTAAAGGACATGGTCCTTTATTTTCGGTATGAATCTCTGGAAACCTTCATAAGTATGTGTTTAAAATATCATGACTCCACTTCTACCTTGAGAGCTGGGTCATCATCATGCTCTCGGAGGAGCGTGAATAGAGCGACTGGATTGTTCCGACAGCATGCAATATGATGATGCTTGCCGGGGGAGGAGGAATCAACCGGTGATTGACTGATGGATGGGGATATGCCCGACGCCTCTGCCACCCGTCGAAGTACACGGCGCCTGCGTTCTTGTTTACTTAGCTGTGCTGGAGTGTCTAGTTTGTTGGTCAGTGGGTAGAATGCCTTAAGGGCTCAGTGTGTAAGCTTGCCCTGTACGAAGGTTTCAGATGTATAATAGAAGAAATATTGTTGATACGCACAATCTGTGTAGTAAATGAATCAGTGGTCCCAAAAAACCTAATACTCCCCACATAGTCTCCCATGGCGTGAAACTTATAAGTATTCAAATTGAACTTTTTTACCCTGGGCCCTGCGGATTCTGGGGAGACATCGTGACTTTCAGAACGCTGAGCAACCCTTCTTTGATGAGCTGCTTTCTCTTTTGGTAACTCCTGAGTATCAAAGGCAGCGCAAGTATCGGTCCGAAACTTTTGCAACTTCTGGGAGAGTTTGTTGAACGTTTCTTGCAGAAAAGCCAAGGTAGATTCCGAGTGAAGTCTAAGTTTAGCAAGAGCATGCCACTCTGCAAACCGATATAGCAGAGACTGCACGGTTGCGTCGTGGTCGGGAGGGAAAAGTCCCTCAAAAACTGGGATAGCGCACTGTAGGGAATGTCAACAAGCCTACATAAAAATTTGATGCAAATTGACCTGTAAGATGTCTTCAAAATCACAGGCTGCCAATTTCTTCATCTCAGAAGTATTGTTTGCAAATTTGCGAATCACACCGCTGCCGTATGTTGGGACTTGGCGAAATCTAACATAGGATCGAGAAGTATGAAACTCGTTAGCGTGTGATGATAATCTATATTGAACTCCATATACCTTTCGTCGAGGGTCGCGACAAGTCGAATACCCTCAGGGAGGGCATAAAGAAGCCTTATTAGGTGTGTAAAGAGCACCTTCCTGGTACCCAATTCGCACTCATGCATCAGGTCGACGACGAGCATGCGAAATGGGTCAAGGCCTAGTGCGCTCAGCTTCATGATGAATTGATTCTGCTCGGAATAGTTTTAGCAGATCATATTCAACAGGTTGTACTTACCAGGATAGGTACCCACGACCTTTCTCCAAGGGTGTCTTTGACCTTTGCACCATCGACCGTATTTCCTAATGCATAGATGAACTCACCAGCCTTGACGACCTTAGCCATTACATAGACTCGGAGGTTGGTTATGCGGGATTTCATGTCCTTCGCGAGTCCAAGGTAACTAAATAAGCCTTTCGGCATGAGGCAGCGAGGGCATGGGCATGAGCCCATGTCCTTGATTGTTGTGATTAAAGCCCTGGAAATGTATGAGCTATCACATATTTTTAACGAGCATAACAGAAAATGCACTTCTCTGGATAGTCCGCTGAATAGGTGAATATCCGAGGATATACTCTTCGCATTACTCCGTCGGCACATTTCGTAACAATTCCGTGTCAATACGCATAAAGAAATTCTGTATCCAGTAAAATTTCCCAGCACGCTGTCTTGTTACTTAAGGGTCTTATATGAAAGTTGTGTATAATGACAACACAATTATACACGGTGAAGACTTCTTGCCAGTCCTTAAGTCCACGGTCTCCGACTTTTCTACTTCGTGGGAGGTAACGTGGTGAGTTCTTGGGAGGATTTAGTTTGTTGTCCTCTTCTTGTGTAGTCTTATACGAAGTTGTTGTGGAATGTTCTGTGTTCTGGATAAATTCGTTAGGTTTGTTTCAGCCTAGTAGGTCGTGTTTCAACCTATGAAAGTCTGTTTCAACTTTGTCGTCCTTAGATGTGTCTCACTTTCCGTTGAAAGGGAGAGTCTTATGAATACACGTAAAGCTTAGAATGAGAGCTGTTCAATGGTTATATAGTCAACCCCTGTAAGGTAGTATATAACCTAGAGTAGAATAACGATAATGAAAGTTATATAGTCGACCCCTGTAAGGTAGTATATAACTTTAGAATAGATAATGATATCTTAGATTACCTCAAGGCACTTATATTGGCCTGCACTTTAAGTCTTAGTGGTCTCACACGGTTTGAGATAAGAGTCAAGTGGGAGGATTGTATTTCATGGGTGAAAATGGGGTCCTTTTATACCTTTTGGGAACCCCCTTACTAAGCATGATTAATCAGATGGATTGGTAAGAATGTGGCTTACAAACCAGGTGATGAATCAGCTTATTACTAAGTACATTACAAATACAGTGTAATCTTACAAAGAAATTAGAAACCATGACAAACCATGACTAAACATGTTGAGTCATGTTAAATGTTATTACAAAGCATGGCCAATCATGACTAAACATGCTGAGTCAGCTTAAATAATGTTACAAACCAGAATATTTCCCAGTCACATGATGTGATGACAAATAAAAGCTGGTGGCTGAAAGAAGCCAAATACAAATAAACAGTCAGAAATAAATAGAGATACAAAACTTGGTGGCTGAAAGAAGCCAAATAAAAATAAACAATGAGAAATAAACAGAAGGTCACATGCTTGATACAAATACAAGGTAAAATAAGCCTGTAAA